CGTCCATCAACGACTATAATTTATTAGATTAAAATTATTAATTAATTAATAATAAATTTGACCCAATAAATTATAATCGTTGATAGACGAAAATCAACGGTTAGGATCTAAAAGGATATAAGTTTATATCCTTTAAAATAATAGATGTTTTTTCCTTTTAAAATAAATGTTAAATTAATGGAAATCTATTAATACAATAGAACTTAATATTTTTAAATGAACCATGTGGATAAGTATGGGTGAATTGAATGTAAACCTACACTTAATTGTAAATCTGGCCTCGTCATGAAGGTGAGAGTCGTGAGACAGCTTAGGTAGTCGTGAGTCGGAACTAAATATCAAGCTTATGGAAGAGTATTATTAATTTGATTTATTAAAGAAAGTTGCTTTTTATAATTTATCCCCTTAACTTTAATCTTGTTTTAAATTATTACCTTATACTTTTAATTGTTTTAATTAGTCCCTTATTTTGTGATGGTAACAAATTAACTTATTGGTTAAAATTTTAACTAACGGTACTAACCTAAATCCCCAAAAAAAATTCTCCTTCCCAATCTTGGTTCACTCATAATGCATGTTAACATCATATAAATACCGTGCACAAATAAATGTTTCAGATAATACGAATGTTACACATATAAATATTGAGAAAAACAAGTATCATATTGTAGGAAAATCTATCACTTTCCTACAGATACATAAAAGCACATGAGTCCCGTTTGTTTTGTTTTCTCTCACCACTCTTTTCTTTTTTCTCTCTATGTTTGTGTGTAGGAAAAAGATATTATTTTCTTACAACATGAAAAAAATAAACCCCATAAATGTTTAACAAAATATGAATGCAACACACAATTCTTTTCCCTCACAAATTTGCTTCACACATAATACATGTTAACATTATATAAATGCCATAACTACAAAAATTCAAATGTTTTGTGGGATTTGTATTTACAAATTGTGACGGTCTTTGACTCCCACAAAAAACATTTGTGGCGTTCACAACAGTTGCTAGTATTACATGCACCACAACATATTTTTTTGGCATATTTATGTGCCATACCACAATTTGTTGAAATATCACTGCAACAAAAACAGAATTTTAAGGCGGTTATTTTAAGATAGTTGTGACGGTTTCAAAATTTACATTGATAATGGCGTCACACTACTGAACAAAAAATATAATCCAAAAAAATCAAATAACACCTCGTCAAATGAAATTAAAAAACTCTATAAACATAAAATTCTTAAATAAAAACAATTAAGCATTAAAAAAATATCGACAAACAGACGATGAATCAAGAAATCACATATATTGAAAACCGTGTTACCTCCACAAAGAATCACGGAAAATTTGGTGACGTTTCGAAATGGAGATAAAACTCAAGCACATGCAAAAGAATGAAGAAATGTGGAGTGATATAATATCTTACTCTAAAACATAAAGGAGCAAAACACCGAAATGAGATATTGGGGAAAAGAACTTGGAAAGGAAAACGTGGAACAAATATGAACTAAATTAGGAAACTCTACTGCAACTAAATTCGACAAAATACATGCTAAGCTTTGGATTAAGGGTGATGATCTAGTTTCAAGTCTTGCTGAGTGCAAAATTTGTATATTTTGATTTATTTTATCAGTTATATCCTTGTGATCATTACGCAGCTCTGCAAAGAAAATGAAAATTAAGTTAGAAAAAAATGACAACACGTTGACGTAATAATGATATTACACGATGAGAAAAATTTTAGTGCTCTTGTTAACGCTACATCCACTTAAATTATAACACGTGATGCCATGTAATACAGAGGATGTTGAAAAATAATCCATATGTTATAATTTATACGTGTCTAGGATTTCAAAATACTTTTTTTGAGATAATTTTTTTTATAGATTTTAAAAGACTATTTATAATTGTAGAGATTTTAAAGACTATTTTAAAATATATTTTTTACAATCAAGATTTCATAAGATTTGATTTTAAAGGATTTTAATAGAATTTATAAGATTTAAAAGTATAATATGAATTTATAATATTTTAAAAAATAAACATTCAAAATAACAAGAATCAATAAAAAAATAACAAATAAATGCAATGATGTTAATAAAAAAAGTAAAAGCTAATATAATTTTCTCAATCAGTAAAATTCACGATAAATTTTCGTTTGAAATTTTTTACAATTGATCTTGTAAACTTTTGAGTTTTTGTTTTACGGGATAAGAGTTTTCTAATCATATATCATATACATGTTTTCGTTGAGTATTCCAAGAAAATTTTGAATTTTAACTTATGGGTTTTATCACATGAAAGTTTAAAAAAATTCTCAAGTTATTTTCAATCAATACATTGAAACCTTAAATTGCTTTGGGGCTTTGAAAATAAGTTTTTAGTGATCTATTGACATAAAAATTGTTTGAAATCGTTTTCTATAGTGAAGGAATTTCATTTATGAATGTATTGTTATGAAACATAGAGTTCATATTATGAAAGTTTCAATCTTTCTTTAAATCGATATTGTTTCATTGATGTAAAACAAAAATACAAAAATTGGTTTGAGGGTTTTTGTTCCCTGTTATTTTTTCATAATTTTATGTTTTTTTAATACTAAAATCACATATTTTTGTGTCAAGAAAAATCGCGACCAATAGCTTGAAAAATTATTGTTTATAAGTTATTTGATGATGAAAATAACTAAAAAATCTGTTGTTTTTGAGTTTTGACGAAGTTGTCATGGCGGAACCTCGTTTCGAGATGGTTGATCCACCAAAGGAAGAAGAAGACACTACAATAGAAAAATCTCAAGAAATCATAGAGGTTAGGGTGAGATTGTGAGAAAGACATCCTATTTATATTTTTCACTAAAATGTCTCCCGAAATTCACATAAAAAAAAATCCATTAAAATTGTCAAGTTTTTGAATACCGGAGATTGTTTTTCCTTTGTTTAAATTCCTGACTGAATACCAACGGATTTGGACGGACTCTAAAATAATCTTTTAAAATTCTAATCGAATATCACATGACATTTTTTCAGTCCTTTAAAATCTTAATTGAATACAAATAAATTTTTTTATCTAAAAATAATTCATTAAAATTCTTTGCAATCCTAATCCAAAACATCCCTTAAAATATAACAATTTCATTTAAAAAATTAATCAGCTCTGAACACTCATGTGGAATATATGGATCACGGATGAATGTATTTGGGCCATTATATAGTGGTCCAATACTACGTCCTATTACTAATATAAATATCAGAACCGACCCAAGGGCAAAACTTTGTTCTTGTTAATTGATCTACTCTGTGCCTACCAGCAATTTGTGCTGGAAGCCCATAAACATTGGGGTTGCGCGGACTTCCTTTTTGTAGCACAACTAAACATGTATAGTTTAAAATTTTATTTTATTTCTAAAATTTCGAAATTAATAACAATATATTTAAATTACTTGTTCATGACATTAAAGATATTCTTATGAGTCTCATATTCATTCATATTAAAATAGATTAAGGTTATTTATAAAAAAAATAAAAATAGATTAAAGTTAATACATTTTGTTTCACTATCAAAAAATGTAATTTTTTAAAAAAATATTAAGTACTTTTACGTAAAATAATTTTATTTACTATACCCACACCGTTCTCCAGGTTGGGACAAAAAATTTGTCATTAAAAATACCAATATTACCTCTACCCCCACTCTAAATCCTAATGTGATATGAAAATATTAATATTTTAAGATATCTTGCTTACGTCTTATCATATGATATACATAGTTTAAATTAAATTTAGAAAACTATTCTACTACAATATTAAAATTAATATATCATTTTAAAGAATATTTTAAAATAAGTCATTAGATTTGATAATTTATATTAGGTTATATATCCAATTCTTATTATTGTATATATAAAAAGAATCTTTTAAAATAAATGCTAAATTAATGGAAATCTATTAATAGAATTTAACTTATTAATAATCAAATAAAAATGAACGATGTGGATAAGTATGTGTGAATTGAATGCAAACCTACTGACATAATCGTAAATCTGGCCTCTTAATGAAGGTGAACAGCTTAAGTACTCGTGACTCGGAATTAAATGTCAAGCTTAAAGAAGAGTATTTTTAATTTGATTTATTAAAGAAAGTTGCTTTTTATATCATATGTACAGATGATTTTAATTTTTTTTAATTAATATTTTTTATCTCATAGAAGAGAACTTTATCTCTTATATATCAGAAAATATTTTCTCATGTTATACGAGAATTATTTTGTTTCATTAATGACCTTTCGATTTTCATTTAATATTTTTTTTTTAATAAATGTGGGTCCCACACAAAATGTGTCTATAACATGAGAATTTTTTTTCCTGCTGCATGGGAAAATTGAAACCCCTTGTATATATGGCTTCATTTTTTCTGCAGTTACTGTAGATAAGTTATCTACAGTTAGCCCAATACGACGTCGTTTTGAGACAAAAATCAAGGTATTTTTATAATTTTAATTTATTTTAGAGTTATAATAATCTTTATATTTATAATTTTTTTAAGATTTCAATATCAAAACGAAGTTGTTTTAGGAATAAATGCAGATAACTTATCTGTATTAACTGCAGAAATATTTTTTCCTATATATATATATAAAAGTGTGTAAGACTCCACACCAAAAAAAAAAAAAAAGTGTGTGAGACTTATTTGTTTTTTCTCTTTTTTTTCACCTGACTCCACATAAATTTCAAATATATTTTTTATATGTACGTAGAAAATAAAATTATCCATTATAAGATATGAAACATTAAACATTGGATTATCCGAAATAAATCCTGTCGTGGCTGGCGCTGCCCCAATGTTGTAACTTGGAAGTTGTAATGTTGTTAATTAATCAGATTCCTTCAAAATATTTTAACCTTAACTCCTGTCAATTCCAAAAGCCACTTGCAGAAGCACTTAAGCAGTGTTCAACGCTTCAAACCCAAACCCAATTTCTCTTTTATTTCTTTTCTTCTTCTCCTCTCTGTCTCAAACACATAGCCCCCACACAGCACACAGTGCAATGTTTCTGTGCATACCCAGATGGAATGCATTATTCCTCATTTTACATGTTCTATTTGTTTTTCAAGCTCTTGGGATTACGCTCAAACAAACCCCAAAACCCTATGAATCCCTCACATACCTTTGGCCTCTCCCTTCAGAATTCACTTCAGGGAATGAGTCTCTTTCAGTTGACCCTTCACTCACACTCTCTGTGGCCGGTAATGGTGGTGCATCTCCCATTGTTAGAGGTGCCTTTGATAGATACAGAGGGATCATATTTAAGCACAGTGATCATGGGTTTGGTTCTATCAGAAAGTTAAGGGAAAGAATAGTATCTGCCTATGATATTTCCAGATTGAAGATCACTGTTCATTCAGATAACGAGGAGGTGCCTTAAAAAGTTTCTTAATTTGGTTGCTTTTTCTTGTTTTGTTTCTGGGTTTTTGAAGGTTAATTTTAGTTTTGAGAATTGAGTTGAGAGTGAGGAATTTTTCTTTGCAGCTTCAACTTGGAGTGGATGAAAGCTATACTTTGCTGGTTTCCAAAGCCAAGGAGTATTCCATTGTTGAGGAAGTCACAATTGAGGTGCCTTACTGATTACAATTTGTGGATTTAATCAATGTTAGTGGTGTTTTTTGGATTTGGATTTTTTATGGTACTTTGCTGTTTTTTTTTTCTCTGCTTTAATTTGTATTTTGGAATTGAAGTTGCTTACTAGAACTTCTTAAGTCTCAATCATCAATGGAATGCGTAGAGTACAATTGACGAGCACCTATAGAAACAGATTTTATGAAAAAGTTGAATGACTCTCCCTTTCATAGAAACTCTTAAAGTATATTTAACCACTCTCTCTTTCTAAGTGCAAAAAGCTGAATTTTCATTTCAATTTTCTCTCTCTCTTCTAGTTTTCAGTCAAGCACTTTCCTTATCTTTCTAAGATAACACATATCTTATATGTCACATACTAGCGTTAATAATTTACTCAAGCACTTGTGCCAAATAAGAATTCTTTTTTTATTCAAGCACTTACTGATTGGAATTTTTTTTTTAATTAAGAATGAGATAGAGTTGTGCTTCACTTATTGCTTTTGGACTCAAGCAAATAAAGTGAATTAAGTGAAATATGAGGATTATTCTTTAACTCTTTTTTTAACTAAAAACATGATGTACTTTGATATACTCATTCTAGACAGTTGTTAGTCATCTTATTTTGTGATTTTATTTACTGCAGGCAAATACTGTTTATGGTGCATTACGTGGATTAGAGGTGTGTATAGAATTTGCAACACATTCAGCTCAAACCTTTTTTTCTTCCTTTTCCTTTTTACTTTATTTTGGGGCCTTGAAGTCGAGGAGCGGTGACGGGCAAAGATGGTGAGGAAGTAAAGAACGATGAATAGAGAGCAGTTAGTTCTTCTTTAGAGCTTAAACTTGTGATGCTTGATGGCCTTGTTTCATATCTGATTACAGGAGTTGTAGATGCCAAGTATCTCTGGATAAATTGTGACATTTGCTCTTTAAGATAGCTTCTAACATGTATCTGCATTCTCCATTTTTTATATTTTTTGGATTTTCTCCATAGGATTGGTAAATCCATAATCTGCTCTGTCCTTGTATACGGGCTAAGATGTCAGCAATTTACTAGAATGCATTTCCTTCTTATACCTTTACATTGTTGATCTTGATACTATGGAAGTTTGAATCCTAACATGTATATAGTAAGTTACTGAAAGTCTTAATTTATCTATATTTCTTTTTACCTTGAAAAGTGACAACTGAACTGTTGTTTTCTTTGCATGATGCTCCAGACATTCAGTCAATTGTGTTATTTCGATTATACAACCAAAACAGTACAAATATACAAGGCACCTTGGTCCATCCAAGATAAACCTAGATTTGCATACCGTGGGCTTATGTTGGGTGAGACACAATGTTTTCAATGAGAAAGTTTAGATTTCTGTGAGTGATTTTATGCTATGATCAGAGGACATTGATACATATGATTTTTTATTTATCTCTTTTTGCAGATACATCGAGGCACTATTTACCAATTAATGTAATTAAGCAGATTATTGAATCTATGTCCTTTGCTAAACTTGTAAGATAAATTCTATATGTTTCTTTTGTTTTCCCTCCATGCTGTATGTGACAATTAGAAACTAAAGAAGTGTCACTTAACTAGCATATCATGTTGTTTTGTCTCATGTACTGCTGAATATAAAAAATTATACTCAACAGAATGTTCTGCACTGGCACATCATAGATGAGCAGTCATTTCCTCTCGAGATACCTACATATCCAAATTTATGGAAAGGTTCATATGCAGAGTGGGAACGTTACACAGTAGAGGATGCATATGAAATTGTCAAGTAAGACCTACCTTATCCACATTAGTTTTCATTTTTTATAATTTTCCTTAGGAAAGGGATTTTACCAATAAGCACAAGAAGTTGAATTTTTTTCCTGTTATTAAGTCTTTGATAAAATTATCTTTGCCTCAAACTGTCCAGTTGTAAATAATTCTGCTACTACAACTATTCTATTGCTAATGTTTCACAAAATTTTCTATGACAAGCAATTTTGAACTGGAAATTGTTGACTGTAAAGGTATTAGAAACTGAAGACAGGGTTAAAGAAGGGTTATCAATGAGGGAATATGTTGTTATAATACCAAAATAGTATGTACAATGTCCTGAGATATTGATCCACGGATGATCATTTCCTTTTATTAAATTGTTACTTCTCATTTACTGTCTTTGAGTTGGCTTTCTCAATCTATCATTGATGAACATTGTGTTTTCTTTTCATGTTTTGCGGTGTGTTGATATAAAAAGCTTTGCCAAAATGAGAGGTGAGGTATCTTCAAATTCCTTTTGAAGTATCTGCTACATAATATCATCAGCATTTTCAGATGATCATGTTTTGGACTTTAAGTTTTTCTTTTCCTTTTGTCTCTTTAATCTTCTTAATATCATGCAAAATAGGTTGATAAAAAATAAAAATGAATCCGCATTTTCTTATGAGGCTATTTCTTGTGGCTGTTAAAAAATCAGTGTCATCTATTTAATGAATATTTGCATTATGTATCACAGGCATAAATGTGATGGCAGAAGTGGATGTCCCTGGTCATGCAGAATCATGGTAAAGCACATGCTTGGTCATTTTTTTCCTAAGTATAGCCTGATAGTATGATAATAATTGGTTTCATTATTGTGACACATGGAGACCCAGGAAATTTATTTTACTTTTTACAATTTATTATAAATATTTCTTTTTGGAAAGACTTAGTTTTCCATAGATAAGTATGTGCTTTCCAGCTTGCAACCTGTAATTTCATTAAGTGCTTATTTTGAAGGAATTAGATGTTGAATGTAGGTATGTGCCGAACTTATCCCTCCAATTATTGCTACAGATTGACACTGAATTCACACAATTTTTTTATTATATCAAGGAGTTGATTATTTTTTCCTTTCCATATTTGCTTGGTCTGATTATTACCTTGATGTCAAGCACAACATTTAATTTTATTTTATTCATGTATTGATTAATTTGGACTTTAATTGATTGCTCCAACAATTTAACATTTCTACTGTCAAGTAGTGTTCATCCTAAATATTTCATGGTTGTTTTTTTTGTCTTTGTAGGGGTGCTGGATATCCTGATCTTTGGCCATCACCTTCCTGTAGAGAGCCACTAGATGTTTCGAAGAATTTTACTTTTGATGTCATTTCTGGTATTCTGACAGGTTAAGCTCCTATAAAACCATAAGCCCCACAGTTGTTCAGTTTTTTCCTGATTTGTGCCGTACATTTAGCAACTTTCTCCTCTAATGAATATCATTGATGACTTACTGAATTCGTGGTATATGTCTTGGGAAGATTCTATGGAAAACAAGTTGAATATTGTCACTAATGTAACATGCTTAAAGTCCACTAGAGACACCATTTAATATTAAGTTGAAAAGCACTTACTATTTTCTCTTTTAATTAAGTCTTTAATTATTGCTCTGTTCTATTTTAACATGGTGGTGGTGATAATACCTTGCTTAACCTAAATATGCAAATGCATAGATACATTATTTTAAAGTACTGCTAGGCATCATTGTTTAATTTGAGACTGAAGAAAGGCATTAAAATTGTTATTTCCTGAATTAATAATTTTGAGGGTTGAAACAAGGGATTTATGATAGAAGTCATCATCAACATCACTTTTATCCCAAATTAGTTAGGGTTGGCAGTCAATGAACCCAAATAAAAAGCAAGAAAAGAGGATTTATAATACAAGTCATGACTAAAAATTACTTTGCCTTGCTTTATGATATATGGCAATACAATGACAATAATATTTTACTTGTATATCTTTATATTATTTTCTTGATACAATAGTAGTCATTTATAGTTAGTAACTTTTTGTTTTTTTTTAATAGATAGTGTGACTGTGGAGTAAATAACTGATGAAATAGTTTTTATTTTACAATATCATATCTATAGGCTTTTGCAAAATTTAGCTTTATTTACAGTGTAGCGTATTCTTCACCAGAAAAAATTGTATTGTGTATTTACTAAAGCTGCGAGGTACTAACAACTGGGGATGCAGAGCAGAGTAATGTTGTAACAGCCCAAAACCCTGTAGCATGATATTGTCCGCTTTGCCCCGCGCACAAGCACCGTCGAGTTCACGATTTTTTTTCTTGGGACACCCCACAAAAGGCCTCACACTAGAAGAGGTATCCACACCCTTAAAAGGCATGCTTCGTTCCCCTCTCCAACCGATGTGGGACATTACATCCTCCCCCACTGGGAATACAGCGTCCCCGCTGTACACACCGGTCCAGGGCCAGGCTCTGATACCATATGTAATAGCCCAAAACCCTATAGCATGATATTGTCCGCTTTGCCCCGCGCACAAGCACCGTCGAGCTCACGGTTTTGTTTCTTGGGACACCCCACAAAAGGCCTCACACTAGAAGAGGTATCCACACCCTTAAAAGGCATGCTTCGTTCCCCTCTCCAACCGATGTGGGACATTACAAATGTGGTGAAAAAAGAGAAGAGAACCAGACAAGAGAGGGACTAAGGGAGGATTTGGAGAGTGGGAGGGGGATAAGGGAACAGAGGAAGAACAGAAACAACTGAACAATAAAAAGAATTCGAAAAAATTACTGAAAGCTTATAGTGCATAACAGTTCTTAAATAGCCAAGCCCCCGGCTAGTCATGATAAATACCCAATTTGATAGCCAAGTAATCCTAATTTAATAGAGATACTGATTTGTTAGAGAAGCTACTAGTAAAATAACTTACTTCTGATAAATTCACTAACTGTACAAATATGGTAGTTTTTGTAAATATAGTATTCCTTTCATGTAAATCATTATTCCTTCTGCTCTTTGTTACTTTTAAAGTTGGAATGTGTTTGGGAGACATTAGGTACAAATATAAGTTCGGAGAGCTTAACAGATAACTGTAAGCTATTTATTCGCTGCTATTAAAACACCCATTTCGTGTGACTGGGAAATTATTCTGGAGATGTGGATTGTGAGTTAATATCTAATGAGTGTGGAAGCATAGAAGTGGTTTGCTATGACCTGCTTAAATTGCTATATGCCTTGTAATGGGCTACATAAAATATATGACCAAGGAGCTCAACTGATGGGGCTTGCTTGCTGGATAATAGATTAGAAATCCAGATGATTTCTGACCATATTGAAATACCAAAAAAATTAAAGTAATTCAATTCAAATTTTTACTGTTTTGTTCATAATTATGATTACATATTATTATTGATACTGTATCTCCAGGGAAGTAATAAATAACATTCTGAAAATACGCCTTTCCTTATGCTAGTTACCTGGCACTTTATTTATTTTCTTTTCTTGTTTATGTTTGAATATCTAGAAATTATGTAGTTTTTAAATATTATATTTCATGATTTGTTTCTTTATTTGATTAGGATTTGGAGTCAAATTTTAGTATGATTAGGGATTAATGCTCTGTAGTTTATATCACATCAAATCAATATCTATTTCCAGATTATTCAGTCTCTGTTCTTTCTTTTCTTTTTACTTTACCTAAATCCCTATACTTTCAATAGTTTGTTTCAGGACTAATAAAACATGCATCAATCCACTCATATGCATCTTTAGCTTCATCTGCCACTTAACCTTGTCTTGCTGTATTTTACAATGTTATCAATTTTATTGGAATTGTTAAAACAAGCTCATACTAACATTCCATATCTTCCCTGGGTACTATGTACACTGAAACGTGTTTAGTTCGTCTACCATCTCAACTTAATCAACTGTGGTTCATGTTTGCGTGACATGTGCTCTTCTCTCTCTTTCATAAATTAACTATCTTTTTCTTTTTCTAAATCTTGCAGATATGAGAAAGATTTTCCCATTTGAGCTATTTCACTTGGGTGGTGATGAAGTTAATACAGGTCAGTACGAGTGGTTTCCTTCTTGCAACTTGCCAAAGAACCACTTGACCTAAAAGTTTAACCTGTAAAATGAGGCCTAACAATGGTTTTTATCATTAGTATAACTTAAAGTTGATCTCCAAAATGATAAATGCAAGATGAGAGTAATGGATATTTAATGCTGTTGGATGAATCTACCACCAACTTTCTTCCTTGTTTGAAATCTAAATGCTAATGGTCCTGCATTGTTTTCTTCTTCAGTGACAACTGATATTGTAGGTCGATGTTTCTGTGCAAATTTGTGATTGTTGTCAGTTGGCCTTTACTATGATAAAGTTATTGTATGAATAAAGTAATCTAGGTTTAGATATTATTGGCTTGTAGGAGCTGATAATTCTCTTTGAATGGATAGTTTTTTATTCTTAAAAGTTTGAAAAGAAGTTTCCCCAGGATTATTTAATATTCATATACTCTTTCTTTCCAATATTTAGGAACATTCATTGGGACTCACATTGCAATGGGGCCTCTAGCAGCCCACACTTATTTTCTATGAGTTATTTATCATTAAAGTGTAAAGGGGTAACATAAGGGTCTTTTGTCTGTTTAGAAGTGATTTCATCACAGTGACCATGTGTGACTTCGTAACATATCTAATATAACAATTATAATAAAAAGTGGACTTTGAATGATTATTGTAATTTTGAAACTATTTGTATTGATGCTAATTGATGAGAAATTGTGTTTTATTTTAACAGATTGCTGGAACAGTACTTTTCATGTAAAGGAATGGTACTAATGTTAACCTGTTATACTCATTCATTGCATTTTATGATGACTTTTTGTTGCTAAAGCCATTAGCCATTTTATGTACAATTTTTGGAAACTCAAGTAAAACCTCTCATGTGTAAAGGACTTGCAAATGGTGTGCCTTGCAGAAATTATTTCATTTGAAAGCTCATATTTTTCTTGACCATGCAATGCTTCTTGTAACACCCCGTATATATCCGGTAATGTTATCACTATCGTATTAAGCTGCGCTTAATTAAAAAAAAATGCGGAATATCTTTTTCTTTTCAATTATGATGTCATTAATCATTACCAACTTGATTACTTAACCATTTTCAAAACATCGCCTGTATGTACATTGCAATAAACAGCTAACTGAAATACCTCATCAATTAAAAAACATAAGTATGAGTCTCTAGTCACGGAACTACAAAACGTAGACCAGACCATCTAACAGTTTATACAACTCAACTCAAAAGTACTAACAATATAGTGGCATGGACAACTCCCATGCTCACCCCAAATAAGGCAACAAAGCCCTCAAAAGTCTCAACTCAACAACAACATAAAGATAATGGCGGAAAACATAAACAGCATCCAATCCAGTCATGCCAGCATAATATGAACAGCACTAAACATCAACTAAGCTTTGGCCTCCTGCCGCCAGAGGCATCAGTCCCCATACTACCTGAACCTGAAATAAGCATTCCCCAAACGTGGGGTGAGATCTCTAAACAAGAAATCTCAGTAAGGCAAGGGGTCCTCAAGGATCTTCCACCCCAAGCTCACTTACATGTGCAATATAAGTTCAAAAGCAGTTCATCAATATCATTTCTAAAATAGTGCAATGCAGCAGATAATCATGTCATGTGTGTCAATACTATTCTACTGGCCAGAGAAATGCAGGATTTATATACGTCAAATACCCACACATAGTGCAAGACGCCACTTGCATCCACCCCGGATCACCGTCTTGTATGACGTCACATACTCAGGCTTACCGTCAAGATGGAACAACACATGCATATTAAAAGCCATCACACATAAAGCTCAACAACATTCCAATTATATCAAAACATGTAACACAGCATGCATATAACCATTCCCCCATGGGGCACGGTGGAACTACACAATGGCTAAACCGAGGACACGAAAGCTTACCTTGCAAGCTAACTATCCAATGCCAAGAGTCCACACAAGCTCAAGGCCCACAAACAGCAAAATCACAATCTGCCCATACCATAATTAATCATCAATAATCATAGCTCAGATTACACAAGTGATTACGTCTTTCTTACTCATTTTAACTCATTACATGCTGTTTCTGCAGGAAGTATTCGAATACTCCACGAGTAGTATTCGAATACTGCAGCTCTCCAGAAAGTATTCGATTACTTTCACTAAAGTATTCGCATACTCACAAGTATCCGAATACTTTTCCCCCCAGTATCCGAATACCTCAGTATCCGAATACCAAACCTCACTGTATTCGAATACCTTCCAGTATTCGAATACTTCTTCAAAGGTATCCGAATACTTTTCTTCCCAGAAAAGTATTCCAATACTCCTGCAAGGAGTATTCGATTACCAAGGAAAAGTATTCGAATACTACACGGAAAGTATTCGAATACTTCTCCAACAGAATGCAGAAATTCGAGCCAACTTCTGCATAATGCCAAATTTAAGGATCCAAAAGCGATTGGGAGTCAATGACTCCCTAAACAGATAACCACCAACATGTTATGAACCCAAAAACACATTCCTTTACTCAAATGGTTAAAGTTCCTCTTTTTAATTTGATTAAACAAGCTTTAGGCCTCAAAATGGCACTAAGGTGATCATGGCTCACCTCAAGAGCTCTAAACTCCGAAAATGAAGCAGAAAGGAAGCCTCCAATGCAACCCCAAGGTTCTGACTTCACAAGGCTACGAAGATACACTTCAAGCTTGACCCTTTGTGCCAAAAGGTGGCTTCTTGAAGCTCAAGAAGCCAAGAACAAGGTCACACAACCCAAACCCAAGAAGACAGCCCCAAAGTCAGCCACTTCACCTCATCACAGAGGCCACAAACTCAGAATGGTACACTCCACACCCTCCCAAGGCCAACTCAAACAAGGCACAAGTGTTTAGATGGAAGAACAACCAAGAAAAGTGGTCTCTTGATGGGATTTTGCCAAGAACAAGGGAAGAGTGGCAATGGAACAGTGCACACACACCCCTGACCAGCCAACACTCATGTAGGAAATAGAATTAACCTAGGGCTTTGAGCCCAAAAGTTATATATATAGTCTCAATAACTCAAACCACACAGTATTAGCAAAAATAGCTACGCTTAACATTTTAATTCCAAACTCAGGATTCTTAACTTACTCAATTTTACAAGAATTATCATATTTTTTTATATTTTTCGCAGCACCTTTCCGGTACGCGCTTTTCATAGCCAGTACCCGTTTCTGGCACCAGTTCTCATTATTTTAACTTGAAACTCGTTTTACAAGTCATACATATTATGCTAGTAATTATCGTGCACTTATTATAATTTTCCGGGATACTTTTTCGGTACGCATTTATACTGACTAGCAGAACCGGTATCTGCACTTTTCTTCCGAAAAACGACTTTCAGCATTGTTACTCACTTACTATAATTATTAAAGCCTCATAATAATTATCAGGGTCAATTATGGAATTATCTCATTAAACTCATAATTAACTAATTAATTTCCTTAATTAACGATGCGGGTTCTTACACTCCTAACAGCCAACAATCTTAATCTAGACTGAATTACTGGCTCTGATTTTGTTGTTAATCTTGACTGTGTTACCGGCATGCCAAGGTGAAAAAGTAATTGGGGAGGGATTACTGTCGCCATGTTTGAGTGACTTGAGTTGTCATCAATTCCGATCAGTTTAAAATTTGGGATTATTTGATTTGAAGCATTCATAGGAAATTAGCTACTCAATTTTTTGATCTATTTTGTCTTTCTGACACTCCATTTTTGGTACTGAGCATTGAGATGGTGATCAATTTCCAGGAAAGTTAACCATCGTGAATCTGTGTGATTAGTGTTTAGACGTGACATTTATTCAGTATTTTGATCATAACCCAAATGCAGGCTTCAGAATCACAACTTTACTGCGAAAGATGCCTATCAATATTTTGTGCTGAAGGCCCAAGACATAGCCCTTTCGAAAAATTGGAGTCCGGTGAACTGGTATGATCTATATATATATATGGCATTATAACATAAGAAACGTTTTTATACCCTTAATTTGTCCTTGATGGCTATTTCACCTTACTACACCTGAGCATACTCTTTCCATCCCATCCCTTTCTTCCTGTTGAAAACATTAATGAGTATTTCAAATGCCACTGATAGTTTGCATATGCATCAGACAGTATAATATCTGCACATAACAATAACTAAAAGGAATTCTTCATTTACTATATCATGTTCTTATAATGTAGAATTGTAGATGCATTTTTAGGTTTGACTTTTTTTGTAACTTCTCAGGGAAGAAACCTTCAATACATTTCCAACAAAGCTCCATCCTCAAACAGTAGTGCATAACTGGTGAGTTTCCATCTGTTTAAGTAGTTTTATTGTGGTATGAAACTCAAATGTTTTGAGTTACAGAATAAAGTATTTCAAATAAATATTGTAGGTTGGGCCCTGGGGTTTGTCCAAAGGCTGTTGCAAAAGGTTTCAGGTGTATTTACAGTAACCAGGGCGTATGGTATCTTGACCATCTAGATGTACCTTGGGATGAGGTCTATACTGCTGAGCCACTTGAAGAAATAGATAAGGTTTCCGAACAAAAGCTTGTACTTGGAGGAGAAGTTTGCATGTGGGGTGAGACAGCTGATACATCCAATGTTCAGCAAACAATATGGCCTAGAGCTGCTGCTGCTGCAGGTAAGCATGTGATGCTGATGCTAAGTTGTTCACCATTCTTGTATTATTGTCTTTATTGCTTAACTGCTTGAGCATACTCCTTGCCTCTTTGATATGCTATCCATGTCTTCCTACCAGCAAGTGGTAATTCTAAGGGAAATGGATCAGGCAATTGAAATACCTTTACTTTGATTTGGATATAGACAACAAGCAACCTACCCACATTTCTTTATTTGTGAGCTGGCACATGGGACTTGATCTGAGAACAGAATTATTCTTGCAAAATTGAGTCATCTGCTGATATCATAACCGATTTCGATGCAGAAAGTAGGTAGTAGAAATTACAGGGTCCCTCTTCTATAAAATGTAAAATAGGTCTCTCTAGTCTCTTCTATATATAAAAAATGGTCACCTATCTCTCTCACTAAGATAAAAGGTAAAATATAGAAGCCATATGAGGGACTCATAATGGTCTTAATCTGTTTTTCTTGCTTGATACCCTTTATACAGAGGTGCCTCTTCCGTATATCATTTTTCCTTTGGTTGTGGCATATTTTTTGGCCGCTGGATTTGATTAATGAAAAATTAACTATTCCTTGTTTCTCACAGAACGCTTGTGGAGTCACAGAGATTTTACTTCTACACAAAATATTACATTAACCGCGTTGCCCCGGTTGCAACACTTCAGATGTTTGTTGAATAAACGTGGGGTTCCAGCTGCTCCTGTCACAAATTATTATGCTAGAAGGGCTCCTGTTGGTCCAGGTTCATGCTATGACCAATAATCCTTATCATGCTTCATCTGTCCATGTATAGCCTGTTGTGAAAGTAACTGATGTTTATCTACAATGCCTGGTTTGTGAGCTAGAATTATTATTTGATGCTCAAACCCTTCACTGCTATGCTATGGTCGTTGTATGTCAGAGCTATCTAGTGAACTGGCAGAAGCTATATTGTAATGTAATTTATTGTTGAGTTAAATAAATCATATCCATTTTACTTGGTTTTTGTATGTGTTGCTAAAAGCAAATCATATAGACTTGTGAATGCTCTAGCTTGTTCAATACAGAAAGCTTCTTGATTTTTCAGCGGTTGTTGAAATGAGTCTTAAGTGAGTATAACACATGACCTCGTACAATCTATACAAGCCTCTCATCAATAACACATTCCTAGTGACTTAATAGGGAGTGAGAATTCATATCCTCTGTAGATTGTACATTGTAAATATGAAAGATAAACTCTACTCTCCAAAGTCCAAATATTTATGTCTCTACGGTCACATCAAAATTGATTGAAGAAGGTGGATTTTGACATACGGTATAGATAATGAATAAATATAGTTAACAGATTAATCAAATTCTTATTATCCAATCATTTTTGTTAATTATAAACTAATTAACTGAACTATTTATTTTTGTTACTTTTACTTAAACCTTATTTTGTATTTTCCATTTCAGCCAATTCAAGTAATAATTAATTACTTATTTCAAACAAGTTAAAGTAGATGCGTGTATTTAAATAATTAGGAGTGAGCTTCTAGGAAAAGATTTTGGTGGTTAATAGGAAGTTATAAGTTCAAATTTGAACACTTTACCATGAGGTTTAGGGGATTTGTTTTTTTCATGTTACAGAAAACAAACTCTGCTTACACTCATAAAAAGGTGTCACTTATTTTTTATTTTATTTTTTATTTTTTTAAATAGGTAGATCCTACATATAATGTATCTATGACATGAGATTAGGATTCTCCTACAACATTTGATTTATTTTTTCCGAGGTTTATATATATGAAAGAGGGAATAAGTGTTTACCCAAAAAAAAAAAAGAATAAGAGGAAATAAGATATTATGAATACTTTTTTCATACCTGTTACTTACTTAATAGTGATTGAGATTGTAATATAATGGTGTTAAATAAAATAAAATAAACATAAAAAAAGATAGATATAATATCTTATTCCATAAAAGAGTATGAGTTTACTTGCGTGTTTTTTTCTAAGAAAGATCTTATCCTATTTCTAAAAGGGGTTTGTATTTGTTATTTAACATGACACAACAAATTTTCCTACACACACAACATTTTATGGGGCCTGTACTTTTTGAAAATAAAGAAAAGAAAAGAAATTATGGCACGCAAAATAAATCTCTATAACATTACACAATCACTTTTCTTACAACATAACTCTTATAAAACTCTTTCGAAAATTATAAAATCAGAACGAATAATAAAAGTTACAAACTAAATAATAAAAGTCGATAACTTCTATGAACTTGTTACGGACTGGATTTGCAACTTTAGTAGTATTTATCATTTTCTATAAAAAAAAAATTCATTCATAAATTTTTTACTCTCAATTTTAAGACCAACAAATCAGAGTGACTATATAAATAAAAAGTGAAGTACATGAGAAACATGTAATAGCCAAGCAAAACCCCATGTTAATACAGGTATTAGTACTTAAGATCACACAACACAATAAATGATTGACAAAATTCTTCTAAGGGGATTTCTTTCCATAGCTATACTCTATGTCGTACCGATACAAGATATGACATGACACTACATTTCGATTCGTTAATTCTTAAAAAATGTTAGATTTGAACATGTTAAGACATATTTTGATATTAAATAATATTTTTAATTTATGTAATGTATATTATATTTAATATTCAATAATTTAACAAAAAATGAAGTTAAACTTATAATATCTATCAATTTTACAAAGAAACATAGGATATCCCAAATATTTATATTAAACTCAATAAAATAATAATCTCAATCCAAAGAATCTAATAGTTGAAATTAAAAATTTAATGCAACGGAACATTCGAATCCTTTTTTAAGTCTCTGCAACATGTGTTGAAGTGAGGGAAAATGTCAGACATAATACGTCAGGTGTCTTAAAGTGTCGGTATATCATAGAATGTACTTCCTTTTTGATTGATGCAGATTTCAAGACTTATGATGAAAGATCTTTGGATATTGTTGCAACATATTAATTGAGCACCATCCACCACTCGTGAACTGAGGAGGAGGTGCAGTAAATCTAAGTGGACCAATATTAAAGGAGTGTTCCACTAAATTGCCTAGGCTTGAAGGCAATGAGCAAATAAGTGCACTTCTGACTCATAAGCTGCATCACAGAAAGCACGTGTTTTCCAGATTAATACCTCTCATATATAGCAGCAACTTTTTGTTGTACTCTATGAGATTTAAATTTTAAATTCAAAACTCACATAAATCTAATAAAGTCATTCATTAGCTTATATCAAATAGCTTTAATTTTTTTAAGAGAATTTAGTTCAATCCTTGAAGGGCCGGCTTGACTCAGCGGTAAGCTTGCTTGCCGTGGTGTGTCAGGTCGCGGGTTCGAATCAGCCTCTCTGCAAAAAGCAGGGGAAAGACTGCCTAGAGTATTCCCTTCCCCCGACACTCACGAAGTGGGTATTTGAACTGGGTCGGCCCTTTTAGTTCGATCCTTATTAGTCCCACTTCAAGTTCAAATATCTCAAGAGAAGTATTAAAAATGTAATAAAAGTCATTTATGCTCTGCTTAAACAGTTTAAGTTTTATGAAGAAATAAAATCATGGTCACTAACTATAGATAAAGTAGATTGACCATGATATGATTGAGTGTGTGTATTCACAACTTGCATGCATTATCATATTATTAAAAGAGTTCCCCTCTGCTTACTCAAAAAGAATTGTTTTACTTTAATAATGATTTTCCAAAAACGTCAATTTCTTCACAAAAAATAAATGTCAATTATTCTTCCTTGTACATAATTACGTGATAGCCTAAAAAAACTTAGAAGTTGAATTTCTTGCTTTCTAGATGTGGACTTTGATTGATTTCTTGTTTGCATGCACTTGCTGACTATGGTCATCATATGTGGGCCTTACAATCTCCTTGACATAAAACATAGAAAAATTAGAGGGTAAGTAAGAGTTGCTTTGGGATAACACAATAGTGGCTGAGAATTCAGATACTCTTGACAATTGGTACAAACGTTGTATTATTGGACGAAGTAATCCCTTTTTGGATTCGGTCTCTATCATTTTCCATGTGCACTGTTTGTATTATTTGAATGTTTGGTAAATGGAAGACTTCTGAATCTATATATATATATATGTATATAACATAATGTGCATTGGGTCCCTAATATTAAATGATTCCCAAAACTCTTCCCTTATTCGATGAAAGTTCAATGTAAGTGTCAGCAATCTGCATGAATGCATTTGTGTCAAACTCTATGACGTTTTCCAATTGATGCATTACCTAACACGATCTCTCCTTGTGAACTCAGAGTTGAAGTTAGTGGACTTTTTCATCCATAAGTCTTGCCAGTACCCCAGTACACATGATGAAAGTTTGAGAGCCTTTTTTTTTAATGAAGGGAAAGTTTGAGAGAAGAATGCCCACATATGATTGAGAGTTTGAATTATATTTAGTTAAAACAACACAATACAAACACATTAACTAATAAACTCATCAAACATGTGATTTTTTCTTTCTTTCTCGGATTCCATAATCCCAATTATCTCTTTGGGACGAATCATGGTCTCGTGCATCTTCACGAAAGAGACACATAAGTATGAAATTAATTCCTGTGACAATCCAAAAGTCCTCTACATGATTCAAATTCTTGCTCGATCTTTTGGTAATTTGTCTATCACTAATGCTCATATTATCACTTGAGTCAAACCCTCACAATTTAATTTTTCTTTTTAAGGACTTGACAGATTTTTTTCTCTCTCCCAAATACAATACAATCAATTGGACTTTAAATATTTATCATAAAATTTATTTTAACTTATTAACCAAGAACTAAAAAAATCATTTTTCCTCTTCTATGCAGAACATTGCAGCTGATAAGGGATATCATCTCCAAGGAGTTGCCAAATGCTAAACATGGTTCTGGACATTCTATTTGACGTGAGCATCATAGCAAACAGAATCCTAAAAAATGGGCCATTGCCTCAAATAGATGCTTCCCTAATCACTTATGTGTAAAGCAAGCAAGCCCAAAAGCGTGCTTGCAATGGCCTTAAATGTGTCCATAGCTAAGAGGGACAAAATGTTGCCTTCTAATAGCAAATCATTCTTTTCTAGGTTTCCATTTATATGTTTGCTTTCCATATAAATTTTATGGTGAACTTTGCATAAATTAACCTTCTCATTTCCTTATATTAATTCTTTGTTGGCTTGCATCGAATTGTCTCTTTGAAATCCTAGACATGAAGGATTTTGTATCAACGGTAGCTTATGATACATTTTGATCGTATCAATAGTATTAAGTGATTGTTACTTAATACTATTTACCCCTGATATTTAAATTATTACTTTAGATATCGGTGAGGTTGTTGAGTTGAATTGATTCTGAACTTGTGATCAAAGTGACTATGAATTTAAATCTCACCAACCTCATTTTATGATAAAACAAAAATGTAAGTTAATGCATCTACGGTTTGGATTAAGACAAACTAATAACGTTTTGGAGACTTTTGTCAGAAACTTATTTACGCATTTTATTTCTTTAACACTAGTTCATCTATAAACTGAGTAATGATATTTACACGGACTTTATTCTTATAAAAATTTCTCAAAATCTTATAGTAAACTCGTATATATTATTATATATACCAAAAAAAACAATCATATGAAGTATTGCAAAAAAAAATTAATAATGAAACCAAGGTCATAGTGAATCTTTTTGAAAATGAAAGTCTCATAAGTTTGTATTATTCTCTTACATTAGAGTCATCTATTTTTTTAGTGTTAAACTCTTAATCTATTTTCCTATAGAGTATAACAAATATATATATCCTCGTTAACTTTTTTTTAATTAATTACGCTTATTTTTTTATAGTTTTAAATGTTTTTTTCTTTTAATTAATATTTTTAATAATTTATTTAAATTTATAAGTATCTGTAGTACACCGAAACTTCTTAATTTCATTAAAAAATTTATTTTCACTCATTTTAAAAAAGCAGCATAAATTCTACACGGAGCATGTGTGAAAACATTAAAAAAAGAAAAAGAGAAAAGAGAAAGTTCTTAAGTGATATATAAAATTGGCTTTGAATGGCAAATACTTATGTTTTTATGAAAGGTTAGGGTTAGGATCTCAACGCATATTTAATGGGAAAAATGTCTATCATTTAAAATTATACAACTTACATCCTTTCACTCTCACAAAGAGGTGGGACCCACACTTTTATTTTTTTTTGTCAACTCTCTCTCCTCTTTAATCTATCTCTTTCTCTCTCTTAAAATGACACAACTTTACATCCTTTAAAATTATACACACTTTCCCCATATTTAATTGCCCTTATTCCTTATATTGTTTTTGTTTAATGTTTAGGTTTGCATTGTAAGGCAATCATCATCTTTACTCTTTTCCATGAAATGGTTTTTTTTACGTGTAATTTAACACGATGATATTACGTGAGAGGATTTTAATCATTAATAATAAAATTAATGGTGATAATTATGTAATTTCTTATCTTTATATTTTTTTTTTCTTTTTTTATCACATTAACTCATTTATGTATGGTTATAATTGCTCCACATAACATAATTATGTTAATTAGTATATGAGAGAATTCACTCCCACTATTACCTATCCCTTTTATGAATAATCAAATAAAAAAAACTGAGAAAACCCCTAATACTCCAAAAATAAAAATAAAAAGAATAAAAAGAAAGAAGCATAAATAAGGACTCTCCCACTCAAATACAAATACTATTACTCTCCTTCTTCTTCTCACCAAAGAACCACTTCTCTTCCATTCTTTAACAATTCAATACTTTTCTTTCTTGTTTGCCCATTTCAAAATTCCAATTCCCTTCTCTTCTTCTCTTCACCCTCTCAAATCCCTTTATCCCTCTCTATCTATCTCTTCACACAACTCAAAAAAATCTCATCTTTCTTTCTCTCCATTGATCCCTTTCAATTTTCACTCCAAGATTCAGACGCGCTTTTCCGTTACTCAATTCTCTCTCTTTTATCTGTGGGTCGTTTTCTTTTCTCAAATGCTTGATCCTACATGACTTGGATTTCTCAAATTCTCTCATTATTGCCCAGAATTTCTGCGTAGTGCAGAAAACCTAAGGGCTAGGGCTGTTCCAATCTTTCTGGGTTTTGTTGAGAATTTTCCTCAAAAGAAACGATTTTGCTGCAACTGGGCATGGTGGGTAACGATGATGCTCGTGCGAAAATGTTCTGGCGGTCGGCTTCTTGGTCCTCTTCCCGCTCCGCCGCCGCCGCCAACAATAACAGCAACACTTCCGGCGAGGCGGAGAAAGATTATGCGGCGGATCGTGACAGCATCAACGGCCAGAACCGGAGGTTTCCTCCGCCCCCATTGACCCCTCGATCGCAGCAAAATTGCAAGGCGCGGTCGTGCTTGCCGCCGCTGCAGCCGCTATCAATTGCTCGCCGGAGCTTGGATGAGTGGCCGAAGGCTAGCTCCGACGACATAGGGGAGTGGCCACAGCCGCCTACAACCCCTGGTGGTGGTGGGAGAGGTAATAATAATGGTGAAAGGTTGAAACTTGATTTGTCTTCTATCCAGCAGAACCATGATAATAAGAATAATAATGGTGGGCTTGTGAAGAGGGATAAGATTGCTTTTTTTGATAAGGAATGCTCAAAAGTTGCTGATCATGTGTATCTTGGTGGTGATGCTGTTGCTAGGGATAAGGATATTTTGAAACAGAATGGGATAACCCATGTTTTGAATTGTGTGGGTTTTGTGTGTCCTGAGTACTTCAAGAATGATTTTGTGTATAGGACTTTGTGGCTGCAGGATAGTCCATCTGAGGATATTACTAGTATTCTGTATGATGTGTTTGACTACTTTGAGGATGTTAGGGAACAAAGTGGGAGAGTTTTTGTGCATTGTTGCCAAGGGGTGTCTAGGTCAACTTCTCTGGTGATTGCTTACCTCATGTGGAGGGAAGGGCAGAGTTTTGATGATGCTTTTCAGTTTGTGAAGGCGGCGAGAGGTATTGCTGATCCGAATATGGGTTTTGCTTGCCAATTGTTACAGTGCCAGAAAAGGGTCCATGCATTCCCTCTTAGCCCTAGCTCTTTGTTGAGAATGTATAGAATTGCGCCACACTCACCGTATGATCCTTTGCATCTTGTCCCCAAAATGTTGACGGATCCTTCTCCATCTGCTATGGACTCCAGAGGTGCATTTATAGTACACATTCCTTCTGCAATATATGTTTGGATTGGTAAGAATTGTGAGGCCATCATGGAAAGGGATGCCAGAGGTGCTGTGGGTCAGATTGTACGCTATGAGAGAGTGCAAGGACATGTTATAATGATCAAGGAAGGTGAGGAACCAGCTTACTTTTGGGATGCTTTTTCAAAATTCTTGCCTTTGATGGATAAATCTGGTGATAAAGTAGAAAATAGCAAATCAAGTGTTAAGATTTGGCCTGGTGAGAGAAAAGTGGACTCATACGATGTTGATTTTGAAGTTTTCAAAAAAGCAATCACGGGAGGTTTTGTGCCTCCATTTGCATCATCAGAGGATGAACATGAAATCCATCTTCCCGCAAGAGAGGGTAGTTGGAGTTTTTTAAGGCGTAAAGTTTCCTCTGCTACTCTGAAGGAGTTTGTCTCAGCCCCTAAGTTATCCTTTCCAAGGGTTTATTCAGATTCCATGTTGTGTATTCGTACATCAGAAAATTCATCTCCATGCTCGTCACTTTTGTCATCATCATCTTCACCCTTATATGTCTCTCCAGATTCCATTTCTTCCGATTCCAGCACTCATTCAAAGTTGACAGAATTGTCCCCAGATTCATCCTCTGCAGTTTTGACTTCTATTCCGGTATCTTCATCATTGTCTAACTTTTCTAATTTGTCTCTCTCGTCAAATTCTACTTCTCAACTAGTGTCTAACAGTAGAAATATCCATGGTGTCCAGTTATCACATCCTCGGTCTCAGTCAACCTCTTTGCCATTGACAAAACCATCAACTTCCCTTGCTGAACGCAGAGGTAGTTTGTCAAAGTCTTTGAAGTTGCCAGTAATAAATGATAAGACACAAGTTATAGATAAACCATCGAATTTTCATGCTAGTCAAGAGTATGGTGTTCCTGTTAACGGCAATGTTAGCAATTTGCAACCATCAGATAATGAAGATTATTTTTGTGAGTCCAATGACCATGTCAAGGATAGAGGCATGAATTCAATTCAACAGTGTGAGCTAGCATCATGTCCTGGCATTTTTGATTGTGTGGATTACAAGGAGAGGAACTGTGTTGAGCCTTTGATAGATTGTTCCTCAAGAGAAGGCCTGAAGTCTACATCATCAAAAGGAATTAATGAGAGTGGCGTATTGCAATATAATCTGACGCAATCTTTAGTATATCACTGGCCCAGTTTAGAAAAGATTGAAACATTTGGCACAAGTCATCTGGATTCTAAAGCTGCTTTTGTCATATTCTCTCCAAGTATGCATGCACATGCAAGAAACATTTTATATTTTTGGGTAGGGAAGTCTTTCAATTGTGATGCTTCACAGGTTCGGTTAGATAGTGATAGAAAGTTAGATTTCATTGGAGCAGTTGACTGGAATCGAATTGGTTGTGATCTCCTTGCTCGGTTTAGTTTGCCAGAGAATACAGTTATCAAGGTATGAACTTATCTTTCTTTTGTCACAATGCTTATAACTCCATGCTATAATCCAGATGCCGCACTCATGACATGCCTGTAAAGTATAATTTCAATGGGCTTTTATGTTGTTGCCATGTATTTTGTTGACAGTATGTTGAATTCAAATTGTAGAATCATGGAATTGATTTCATGCTTTTTTTTCTTGTATTTTTTTTTTTCTAAATTAAAACATAGTTACATTGAATGCAATATTTATTTTGGAATTTTAGGTTTTGTTTGCTTTTCAGTCTCTCTAGTATCATTCTCTCTCTCTATCTATCTCTCTTTGGTGAGCAACATCATTAATATACGAAAAGAAAAAGTACATCATCTATATTTTAAATGTTACGCTAGCAACTTAATGGAGAGTGGATGGAAGCCGCGTTGTAAATTGCCGGAAATAGTGCTGCAATTGCGCCTTTGTGGGGTGGAGCGGACTGTGGTAGCTTCTGGACACCAGTCACATTGCATTTGTTGCAGCCGAGATAGTGCCAATTCAGTGTGGTGAAGGTCACGTGAAGTAGTGGCACAGTTCTTTTCCTTTTTTTCTTTTAACTAAAGTTCCAGTTTTGCCTCTACTAAACCCTCACCATATTCATTATTTAGAGGCAAAATTGTTATTCTACTACCAATTTGTTTACATGAAGCATTTTAGGGTTAGATCCTTCCTCAGCTGTCAAAATCAAGACCCTACTCAGTACTCAGTATCGGAAGGAGGAGGGGTGAAGACACGTAAATCATGTAATCTTAACATGGATCGTAAGATCCAGGCTAAAATAAAAAATTATGTTCAAACCATAGTTTTAAATAGCGGGTAGCGGCCGACTCTGAAACACGGACACGCCGTTTCTGGGAAAAAATGCGTGTCCGATATGTGTCTGACATGGACACGCTCGGACACGCGTCCGACACGCTGTCAACTTTTTGGGACACGTTGACTAGTGGGACACGCGAGTTTGACCGAATCCGACACGTGGTCAACGTATTGGACACGTTTTGACATTTTTTTTTGCAAAAATAAAATAAAATTACAATTAAAAAATAAAAAATATTTAAAATTTAAAAAGTCTGCAACCTATCCTTTCTTTTTCGTTGACGCTGGTAGAGTGGTAGTTCTCTTTGTCGGTCGTCGATCGTTCTCTTCCGGTCATCTTCTTCGTCGTCGTCCACCGACGACCACCACCAACGACCACCGACGACCACCGCAGTTAGAATCTTGTTTTGTTCGATTGCATTGTTCCCTCTTCAACCTGCCGACGACCACCACAGCCATTAGTGGGTTGCGCCGCATCACTGTTATGAAAGAGAATGAGATGACCTGCTTCTTTTAATAAAGCTTCCAATGTTTATCAATTACTTTATATCCTCCCATTCACCAAAATGCCCTTTCCTAACTTATAATAGTATTAATTTATGATCATTAATTATTACTCAAAATATGATTTATTATCCATCTATAACTCTTTGCTTTATTAATTATTATTATTATTATTGTTGTTGTTATTTATAGAATTGTGATAATGATGAAAATATCTGAATAGTTTTTAAGTGTAAAGTAGTTACGTACCGTTAGTATATACAAAAAATATTAGAAAATTTTGAATTAAATTTAAATTAATAATTTGATTTGTTTTATTATTTATGTTATGAAATTTGAATATTTGATTAGTATATGAGTTATTATGAGTTGCTACGTGTATTAAATCTAAATTATATTATATATATTAAAAATATTTTTTAATATTAAAACGTGTCCCAACGTGTTGAAATTTAGCATTTTTTAGAATTAATGTGTCAGAGTGTCGTGTCCCGTGTCCCGTGTCCGTGTCCGTGCATCATAGGCAGCCGACTCCAAAAGCAGTATAGCGGGTAGCGATAAAGCCGCTATTGTGAAGTCCATATAAATACTTATAATAAATTATACCACATACATAAATGCTATAAGATAAGAAATCTCCCAAAGGAAATGAAGAATGGAAAGTATAATAATACTACACATTCGAAACAAGGATTCAAGTCACAAATCAGAACAGATGTGTGCCGGAAAAACAGAACCCAATCGCAAACTAGAAAACACGACTGAAAAGTGAAAACCAGAATAAGCAAGCAAACACGAGCTGTTTTCGACTTCAATCTTCAGGAAAAGCTTGGGCAGCTGCTGGAAAAGCTTGTGCATCGTGCATTTTAGCAAGGGGAGATTTAGATTTGAGAGAAGACGTGAAGAACAGCTGAAAACGGAGAGGGAAAAAGTTTGTCGTTCGTGAAAATGAAGAGGGGGAAAAAAGACGACGCTCCCTCCTTTTCTTTCGTTAAAAAAAAAATTGCAAGTAAATATCTATTTTACCCCTCACTTATCCTGGTTTTTTCCCATTATATCCTTAAATGATACTCAAATTTACAAAACACTGCCACCCATGCTTTCAACGTTTCGTTTTCTCCCTAAATGTTTGTAACTCCTCTTCCTTCCCTGCGCTGCAAGAGTTGCCGTCCGCCACCACCGCTACCAGAAACCGTCGCGTTGCGGTGCAGAAGTTGCGGTTAGGTGCCGCTTGAAGTGCGATAGTGCGTTAAAAAGGCACTATTTTAATCATAGGTTCAAACATGCGCGTGCGTGTGTGTGAATATAATCACAACGTTTAATTAACTTAAATTGAAAATGCATAGCAAGACATTTTCACACTAGCACCGGCCCCACTCCATGACATTTTCACAGCAGCAAAACTGAGGAACTGGAAAGAGCAGAGAAGTCGAACTACCCACCCACACAAACCAGCAAGTAGAAGATAGGTATATCGAAGCAGATTGAGGGACGAGGTCAAACCACCACCCATCCTCTCTCTCTCTCTCTTTCTTAACTGTCAGGTATACATTGAAGCCACAACCCTCAAAACAAAGCTCTAAAACCGCAGATCAAAGCTCAAAAGTGTGAATAGGTATGAGTGAAGGGATTGAACAGAATGGCAGAGAGGTATTTAAGGCTCAGGGTCTTAATATGTGGGGTGGGCTAAGGTTTTTCTTTAGAAATGGATGTCTTGGCCAGCACAGTGGGAGCATTCGATCCCACCAATCTCATGATCAATCAAGGCAATCCTACACAATCTCATCAGATCGTGTCTTAAGGGTGCTAGGTAGGATCGTAGTAGCAAGCAAAGCTTGTGGAATTGGTCTGATCCAATGCTAACCTGCAATGTTGACACCTTGGATCCTTCACCCAGCGCAGTCATCCTTCCATGCCTGTTTAAGAAAGTTTCTGTTCTGCTCACACCTTTTACAGCCATGGCCACTCTCTTTCCAGCCTCTTCGTAGTCCAGCTCCTGTTACTCTGTTTCTGGTCAAGCATGCAACTTTGCAGCTTTTCCACCTCTGTTTTTCATGTTGATCACATATTGCAAGGTTAGTGATTTGGTTGTATAAACAGAACAGGAATTCTCTCTTCCCTCTTTCGGTGGGATGATAAATAAGTTACTGTAACAAGTGGTTAAATCTCTAGTTAACTTGTTGGAAGGTTAGATTGAGGTTTACTTAAGTTTCAATTGCCTTTTAACATTATAGGTTGGCCTACTTTTGGAATGTGGTTATCCAGAAACCACGCCGATGATTTTTGTTTTTCCTTTCTAAAGAAAAACTAATACAATAAAAGTGAATTGATACTTTAATGGTTTGAAAGTTGATATTTCATCACTTTAGTTTGCAAACAGTCTTATTATTTGTGTTAAGATGTGGCATATGTGAGAAAAAAGTTGATATTTCCTTTCAGCAATCGTTGTAGGATCTGCAGATACTATAAATCCTATTCCATTGTTCAGTAAATCTCGATTTCCTGTGAAATGTATCTCCATTTGCCTGTTTCTCTTGATTTTACATGTTTTTCCCTTTAAATCAAGCCTCCTCTTGTATGTGTCAATTGCATTGTATTGCTAAAGCATCCATCAACTTGCCATGCTAAAAGTATTGGATTTGAGCCATTACTTTTTTTGTTGCATATAATGCCAAATTTACAGTAAAGAAATCCCTCCAACTTTGCCTTGTGTTGGTATTTGTTGATTTATGTTATATCTTTCGTTCATTTTTCTGTTGTCACACAAGATTGAATTGAGCAACATGCACTGTGGATTATCCCAATAGTTTCAATGTTCTTGTTGATCATTGAATCTCTTCTCTGAATAGATTGTTAAAGAGAATGAAGAACCGCGGGAGTTCCTTGCTTTGCTGAGTTCATTGTAGAACAAAAGATACTGGGAGAATCCTGAGTTCAAGTAACCTTTCTGGCGTCTACAGCTGTCTCTGTGCATTCCAATTTTTCAGGCACTAATTTGATCTTCCCCTGGGAAAAGAAACCCGGCGAGGTAATGAATGGCATCCTAGCAGTTATATTACTTGTTCAGAGCATTTAATTTATTTATACTGATTAGTTTTTGACTAATTTATAGTGGTAATTATTGATTTTTAAATACATATAGTTTGTATTAAATGTTAATAACATGTTTACATGTTATTTTTATGATGATAAAAATAAAATACATCTAAGCTGGATGGCACCATTGTTGGACCAACTGCATCAGTCATGTTCATTAATTATAAATGCCCTTCACCTCATGTTTTATGCTCATGGCACTTAAAACTGAGTTAGTTTATATGTTGTTGCTTGCAGGAGACAAGTCAATTGTAGCTGGGCTGATTGTACAGTGCTTTAACACCCTCAACCTAGACATTCATGTTCAACATACTGAAATTTCTTGCACATTCTCATGTTATTTAAAAAAAAAAAAAAAACTATCTCTCTTTAGCTCTCTCTCTAGACATGTGGAAAGTTTATTCCTTTAGATCTGAACAAACGAATCCGTGATTGAGAATTTCTAAATTGAAAGAAAAGCTGGATGATATACTTTTGGAGTTTAATGACTGTTTTAGTCGCTTATTCCTCAAACAGCCAATGGAACTAAAGTTTTTTGGTTGAATTTTAATGCTTATAGTTTTTTTAGCTCATGTTATGACCACCCCTATAGTGAAAAGCAGATGAAAATTATCGTTTTGTAAAATATTCTTGATTACAATTTCGTGTTTGTATTCCTTGTAAAATTGGGGAGAATGCGGAATCATTGTTTTCAGAATGAATCACATCGAATGTTTTAAAAACAATATACAAACAACAGTTTATTTTACAAGATCTGATACCGGTCGGTTTAGAACATAGTATAAGCACTTCATTTAATAATAGATATGTGTAAAGTTGGGTATCTCATATTAAGTATCCATCAACAAACACAAAATACGCTTCTTGATACCAAGAGTTAAATGGAATATTACAAAACGAGCAAGGTTGGCATTTGACTTGACTATTCAGTTGCGTCAGATTCAAACTACCTATGGTTTTTATTTCAACCAAGAATTTAGATAGTAAATATATATTTTTGGTCTTGTGAACTCATCATTAATAAAAAAGAACATTTCAAAAATATAGAAAGTGTGGAAATGAACTTGATTAAGGAAAATGAAATATTTATGAACTTACGAGTTTATCTCAAGACTTTTAAGTAGCAAATTCTGTTTGGAGATTGCTTAATTTTTTGTTTGAATTTCATTAAGGTCATTTAGTCTTAAATTTAGATTAACTTCCCCTTCTCCGCACCAGATCTAGGACTTTCTTTGTAACACAAAATAAATTAAATATTCATCAACTTAACTCTAATTTAAGACAAAATGTACTAATTTGTAGAGCTTTAAAATAAAACATCAGTTTAAAGTTATTTAACATTGGTGACCCTAGCCCATTGCATATTTCTGGGTCCATTCTTGAGCAGTAGAGTCGTACTTGGCTCTATCATACTTGTACATGTGAGCAATCTCAGGCATTATTGGATCATCTATGTTGGGATCTGTCAGCAGAGAGCATATAGAAAGGAGGACCTGCAAAATCTCAATCTCAGCTTTCTCATACACACAAAATATCGATCTACCTAACTACATTAGGCGAAAAGCATATTTATAACAAATGATTGTGTTTCTAAAAAGAAAAACACAAAAACCTCCTCTATGAACTGCAGAGCTCATTTCTAAATAACGGAAGTCATTCTATTATGAATCTTGAAAAGGAAAAAACATAATGGAAGAACCAACCATGATTAAAATGACATACTGGCATACCGTGTGTTGCAATGAAATAAAATTTTCCAAATATAAAATGTATCACATTACCTTGGATACTGTAAGGGCAGGGCTCCAATTGTCTTTGAGAATGTCAAGGCAAATAGTACCATTGATACTGATGTTAGGGTGGAAAACCTTTGTGCGGAATGAAACCTGAACATAACGATAATGAATTCATACAAACCATTCCCACAACATAAATATTTGAAAGCACTTGTGCGCAAAGCCGATCAACAATGTAAATAGAAAACAGGGCAGCGACTGTCTTTACAATCCTTGAATACTCTCTAATTAAATCTCTTGATTTCTTAAGCCTGAAAAGATAACCAACTAGTGGATGGGGAACTGGGTTGGAATCATAGGTTCAAGTCATGAGAATGACTTCCAAAGTACCAAAAAAAGAAAAAAAGAAAAGAACTAATCAGCTACGAAATCAATAATCAGCTATAAAATATCAAAAGTTACAATAATTAATTTAGGTAATGACAATCAGGACTATATGGGCTAAGGACTTTTGGAATTCTTCATCAATTCCATTACTCTCTGACCAAACATAAACCTTGGATCTACCATATTTCCCCTACATCTCCCAAATCCCAAGTGCTTTATCCAACTTGAAGGAAAATATAGAACACTTGAATGCAAACATCTAAGAAAACTAATCCTATGATGCTGTTGATTCAAAAAAGCAAATATTAGTGAACACTAAATAAAGAAAGATGGCCAAAAAAATGTCAACACACGTTATAGATATGCATAAAGCAGGCTTTGGGATTACCTTGGGTGGTCGGAAGGGATAATCTCCAGGGAAGTGAATTGATAAAAGAAACACACCACCAGCAAATGGGCTATCTGTAGGGCCCATAATTGTAGCTTGCCAATGGGACATGTCATCGCTGACCGGGCCTGAACATTGAAAAATCAATCCATATATTGAAATTGTTTAAAGTTTCACCCAGTTTTAAGCAAACTAAAATTATCAAAAGCACCAGGCGTTGAGCAATCTGTTTCTAAATTTTAAACGGAAAAACATTTATGCTCTTCTTAGTAATAGAATAGACATGAATTGCTCTTGCATAATAGAAAAACAGAAATGATACCAGCACCAGCACTGCAAAATTCAGGAGGGTCTGTAATTATTTCCTTCAATTCCTTGCTGATCCGTTTCAAAGCCATCGTATCAAGGTTATTCTGTTGCAAGATCTCACCATAAAAATATTTATATAATTGAGCTGAAGTAGTAACTCAATGGTGATTGAATACAAAAATTAGTTAAATAAATTCAATAGGCATCAACTAAGGTATACATAAAATTCATGAAACTAAATAAGTGAAACCTCAAATGGATAAATAGAGTCAGAGAGAGTAATTCACTGACCTCTTGGTGCCTTCTCTTGTTTAAGGTTTGGGTGTTGACAAGGTCGACTCTAAATGCACAATCTAAAGGAGAAAAGAGGGAGTGTATCTATATGCGTGTCAAGTAAAACATTTTATATGCTGAAACTTGGTGCTCTCTAGCTGTGACTCCTTGCCACGCACCTCTTACGTGGCTAGCAGCCAGACCCCGAATTAAGCGTTACTTTTTCGGTTTTTTTTAGTTGTGTTACTAGTTGTTCTCTTTAATTAAGCAGGAATGATTGCATTTTCAAATTTTATAGTACACTATTGAATTATTAATTAAGGATTTAATTTTAATTTATTATGTGTATCAATTATAAAATATTTTTAATACTATCATTTAATTGTGTGCTTAATTACTAAAAGAGTTTGATCTCTTGAGAGATTCATAGGAACATCTATTGTAAGATAACATTTTTACCTCACATCACTCATTGTGTGCCAGGTTAGTCACATGGGTCAATATTGTCTCCAACATTAACTACTACGTTATATATTTTTATTGAAAAACATAGTTAATGTATAGTAAGTAAGAGATGATAATGACCCATATAGCTAATGCAACACATAATTAATAGTATAGCATAAAAAGTATTGTCTTATAAAAATAGCTCATCATAATTGCAAGGGTAGGGGCAAGAGAATCCTTGTAGGCAGCCTTATCCTTGCAATTTTGCAAAGAGGTTATTTCCTAGATTCAAACCCGTGACTTTTCGGTCACAAAAGAGCAACTTTACCATCTTTCTAGGCTCACTTTCTGATAAAAAGTATTGTTTTATATCAAGGAAAAATTCTGTTACCCTGAATGTAATATATTCCTCTTACACTATACAATTAAATATGTGTTGTGTCAGTTATATGACTCATCATTGCATCCCATTTTAACTCCAAATCTAGTGTAAGAGTAATCTCTGACAATCAGTATACCTAAGAGTCTATCTGATATCTCAAGTAGCTTTACCGTAATCAAATTTTTAAATGCTATGACAACATTTATTTAAGAGTAAACCCCTAAATTGGTCCTCCAAAAATTAGCATATCTCTATGTTAGTCATCCAAAGATTTTTGTTATCAAATTAGTATCTCAAAGATATAAAACGTCACCATATTCGTCCTTATATTGGACTAAAATCGTAACACAAAATGATGAATCTGGTAACTATTCTGTATCTTTAACACACTAATTTGGTGACAAATATCATACAAAAAATATTGTGGTGACACACAAATCTATGTGGAACGAATTCAGGAGTTTACTCTTTATTTAATTAGATAATAATGTGAAAGATTTTACACATACAGTCAATCATAATTAATTCATTCATGAAAATTATAATTAGCTACTGTGGTAGGACAAACAGACTTTGATCCACTGGAGTTTCAGTATAACTGCACTAAGTGCAGTTCTTTGAACTCAACCGTAAACATTTATTAAACTATATCAAAACGTTAATAAATTTCCACATCCTTGTTTCATTAAACTGAATTTGCTACTAGTTGAATTCTCCCTCACCCAGTGGCCTCCTATTCTATCCCCATCATTGATCAGTTTCAATGGGTCATTGTTTCCAATGCTAAAAATTAGAGAAATTTGGGTTTGTGGCATTGCAGGTGAGGTGGCTTTGCCAGATTTCTAGGCTAAAACCACTAAAGTTCATATTGCAGTACAACAGTGGAGATGGGAATCCAGTGCATTCTCCATTACTGTCCATTTAATACTTAACTAGCTCAAGTAATTATTGTAATTTTGATGGATCTCTGTCCTGTATGGTTATGTTTTATTAGGAATTTTGCTGTAAAATTTGCACATTCATAAAATTTATTTGCCTGTTGGTAGGATCATGAAATACTGACATGATGGAAGATGTCAATTTTGGGTGGTGAGTGAAACTCAGGTTGTTCAAAACATATTTGGAATCACACAAGAAAAAGAAGCCAGCAACTGTGTTTACTGACCAAGATCATGCACTAGCAAGCAACTGTCACTACATCAAGCATCATGTATAATAGGGAGAACAGATACCATTACTGGGATTAAGAAAGGTGGAGTCTTACTCTTACCTCTCTGCAGTGCCAACACAAGTACCAAACACTTCTCTCCTTCAAAGCTGCCTGGTTTTAGAACTCATGTGTGCCCCCTGGGATGTTTTTGCTCTCAATGCCCGCCCCACTCTCCCTTTCTTTTCTTTTTTGGTGTCGTTGTTTCCTCTCAATTTCCTTTCTTGTGTGTGCTTCCTTCTGAGTGTTGTCGCCCCCTCCCTCTCATCTGGGTGTGAGTCCTCCTTTATAAAGAGGAGTAACATCCTCTCACTGAAATTAAGAAATCAACAATCATACTCATGCCTTAATTTCTTGGTTTCCAGCACATGTCTAAAAGGCCCAATAAACATAGAAACAACATCTGAATACAAGGTTGAACGAATATAGGCACCCTATCTTAGTCCGAGGACTTCTAGGCCATGAAAATTGGACTAAGACAAAAGGAATGAAAAAGAAGTCTAAATTAGGCCAATAATTTTTTTGTTTCAAGAACAACTTTTTTTCTCAAAAAATAACATATATATATATATATATATATATATATATATATATATTTTAAAAAAAGGCCAGGTCAAAATTGGGCGCTACCAACACCAATTCTTCAAGACAATAACATTAGTTACAATTCTGTAGTGATAGCTTTGATCCACAATACGGCTGCATCATGAATAAAGAACAAATATTGAGCTATCACTCATGAATAAAGAAGAAAACTATTTTGTAAAGTTAGCTTTGTTCCACAACTTTAGAACAATACAATAGTCATTCTTTGATTATAGTTGATAATACCCAGTCATAAAATTAGGAAACAGATGCAATTGCAACCTGAAAAAACTTTCAAAGCATATTATTGGTTATGCGGAAATTCATCCCTAGAAATTAGTGAAACAGAACTATTGCAATGGCACAACAGAGAAGGGAAAAACAGTCAAAACTTTTTTCCTGTACCTTGAAATATGTTCCCGTATATCACAATCTATCTAGAACATCCTCAATGAAATCAACAAACTATGTCAGGTTGGCTTTCAGATACTGCTTTTATATATCAACTACATTGAGAGTCACAATCATATGAATCATTTCTGCATTCAGCAAACATCTTTTCACAATCAACAAAAAAGGACGATTCCAATGCAAACAAATAAAAAATAAAAATAAAAAAAATAAAAAAAAAATACAGAGCTCCGCATAATTTAGGTATATTTGTGGTAAAACAGAGAACGGGAAAGTAGAAGAAGAAGACCAATGAGTAGATAAGGAGTTTGCTTACCCTGAAATGAAGAGTGTTGTAGTGTAGTGTGTAGCAGAGTGAAAGAACGAACAATTGAAGCAATAATTGGGAGAGATTTACTTAGAGCTGCAAACATGGCCATGGCCATGGCCATGGAGATATTCACTTCAAAGTTCAAAGCATATGTATGTATGCTTTCTGGTCTCTATGATAAAAGGATATTGGGCCAAAGTCAAATGGGCTTCTAAGATAAAGTATGGGAACTAACCCAAAAATGTACTTGCCATACCATAAATGAGACTTGGTTAACATGTACAAATGGTTTGTTATAGATTTATTATAAAGAGAATAATATTTTCCCTTTTTTTTATAACGTGGAATTCTCATATAACCTCTTTTTGTCACCTTATCATGGGAGTATGACCCCAAAGGTTAATCCTCGTTGAAACAACTAGTGCATTAAGTTTAGCTAGGGGTGTAAATGAATTAGGCCGGTCTACAGGAACCTACGGCCTAGCCTATATTAAGTAACTTATTATTAATAGTAAAATAGAGCAAGCCTAGATTTTTAAAAAAACTTATTTAGAAAATAGGCCATAAGCTTTTTTGCTCATGTCGGACCTATAAGCCTATAGGTCAACTTATATCATATTATTTATTTAAAATATAATAAATAAAATTATTATTTTAATAATTTTGAATAATAAAATAATATTATTTTAGTTATTCTTTTAATTGTTGAATGTTTAATAGACTTAAACAGACTAACAAGCCTAGGCCATGTCTTTTATTTTTTAAATACAGGTCAGATCAGACTTGTAATTTGGGGCCTACACAGGATAATAGACTAGGTCATCCCCAATATTTTTTACACAGTCCTGACCTATTTAAGCTAAAATCTAGCCAAGTCTAACCTATTTACACCCCTAAGTTTAACCACCAGAAAAATGATAAGAATAACCCCTCATTCAAGGAGAGAGACACGTCGTCTAGCCCTCAAATTTTTTTCAAGAATTTCTCCTTATTTTTTGCACTCACGTGAAAGTGGACATTTTTTATTTCCTACACTTACATGAAGTAAAGTTATCTCCATTTTTCAAGAGACATATTATTCTCTAATATAAAACATTTAAAATTTGTATAATTTGAATAAAATTTTGTGAATAAATAGTAACTCCGAAAATTGACTCGATTTAACATAAATTCAAATACGCAAAAGGTAAATAATCTTGGCTTAACTATATAAATATTTTAAAGTATATGTAACTAAGTGAGTAGTTTTTGTCTATGTAGCACCGACACGACACGCGACACGGATACGATACGACGTGATACTCCGACACGTCAATCCTAAAAAAATATGGAATTCGACACGTTGGGACACGTTTTAATATTAAATAATATTTTTAATTATATAGTGTATATTTCATTTAATATTCAATAATTTAACAAAAAAATTGAAATTAAATTAATAATACCCATCAATATATTATCTTTCAGCTTTTCTTTCCAATCCAAAGCCACATAAGAAAAATTGATTCAAAGTCGGAATCCAAGGTGTTACATAAATGGAGAAAAAAAAGAAAAAAAGAAAAAGAAAGATCTGATGTAAACAATGGCAACAACAGCAAAAAAAATTCACCGACACCCAATACCATAAATTGTAGTAGCTTTCTTCACAAAAGGCAAAACATAAACTAAAAAAATACATTGTAAAATAAGAACATCAAGAACACAATGAAACATAAGGTGAAAGCTTTAATAAAAAAATAAGAACTGGGATGAAAGAGAGAGATCATATCAGATTAGAGAGAGATTAGGGAGGAGGAGACACGATAAGAGCATAACAAGAAAATGACAACGTTGGTGCTGAGATGATCTATTATTTACTTAAGGGGAAAAAAGGGAGATTGATATGATGATGTGGAAGCTTTATTAATATATTTTAATTTTAAAATATATTTTTTAAAAAAATATATAAAAAATTTACGAAAATGCCATTTGACCATGTCGGAGTGGGTCGGAACGTGTCGGACTCGGTCAAATTCGCGTGTCGAAATGATCAACGTGTCGGGAATGTTGACCACGTGTCCAACTCCGTGTCGGAGCGTGTCGCCATATCAAAAGTGTCCGACACGACACTCCCTATTTCTTGGAGTGTCTGTGCTTCTTAGGTTTTTGTATGTGAATCATGATGACATAACTTTTTATCTTATAATAAGAGTGTGATCCAAATTATTTATCAAGAACATATGATTGATTTTAAAATTCTCGTATATAATATATATTGATAATTATATTTGTTTTCGGTGTTAATTCAATAGATTAATCCCTTATTTATTCTGTGTAAAAAAAAAATCCTGAGACATGTATAAAAAAGCAGAAATTAAAAATAGCAAATATTGAATAAAAAGAACAAAATTTGATACGATACATTTAATAGGCGGTTTAAAAATGAGATTTTAAGTAAAAATGAATAGAGATAAAAAAATCGTAAAACATAAAATTATAATATAATTTTTTTTATAAAAAATAATAAAAACGTAAAAACAATTGAAATATTGATAAAAATATTTTGATGAAAATAAATTATAAAAACACGATGATAAATCGAAATTTTAAGGGACTGATTTAACTCGAGTTAAATGGATTGGGCTTCTTGTACAAAAGAAGAAGAAGAATGGATTGGGCTTTGCACTAATTAACAGTACAAGTGTAAGTACCTATGGGTTTCGGATGCTGGTCTATATAAATCAGCACTACCCACTCTTCTCTTCTCCTCCAAAACCCTACCTTTGGCAGCTGCAGCAGCCATTCCATTTTTAAGGTTTCTTAATTTCTGATTGATTCAGATTCATACATGTAGATTTGGATCCTATAGTTCTCTCTCTCTCTCTTTATATGTTCATGCTTTAATGGGCTAATGCAATTTAGTGTTATATGTATAATCAGGAGCTTGTAAGAAGTGTAGCTGAGAGTTTGCAATGGCTCCTGCAAAGGGTATGTCATTTTTCGATTAGTGTTCAATGTCCATTTTTTCTTGAAAAATCTATCTATCTGCCCGTGTAAATAATAATGTTAACATTTGTGGTTTAGTTGCTGAAAATCCATATGAATCAAGTAACCAGCGTTAGGAATCATTATGTTAAAAGATAATGTAGGTTACTTGGTTTGTATGGTGCATTTTGTAAATGGGTGTTAGCCTTTGGGATATGTTTGTAGTGCTTACCCCTAAAGAACTGAATAAATATGTTTACCTAGTTTAAAGAAAATGGATGTGTCATTTCCCTTTTATTTAATTTTGACATGAATGAAGATTATATGATTTTCACATGTATCATTGGACATAACAATTGCTTAAGTATTACATGTTCCATACCGTTTAATACACTATCAAGATTGTTTTGTAAAATATTGCATTACCTTTTAACTACTGAATCATAGGTCATGTCTGCTAGTTTGATGTTCTGGTCCCTCTTGTCTGTTAGTTTAATGCACTGTTTGATAGACATCATGTTAGCAGCTCAGGTGTCAATAATGGTGTCATGCTAATGATCTAATTGCTTCTTTTTTATGTCTTGTGCAGTGGACAATACTAAAAAGTCTGATCCCAAGGCTCAGGCCTTGAAGACAGCCAAGGCTGTGAAATCAGGAGGCCAAGTGTTTAAGAAGAAAGCTAAAAAGATCCGGACCTCAGTCACATTTCACCGGCCAAGGACATTGAAGAAAGAAAGGAACCCCAAGTATCCCAGAATTAGTGCTCCACCAAGAAACAAATTGGATCATTATCAGATTCTCAAGTTTCCTCTAACTACTGAGTCTGCAATGAAGAAGATTGAGGATAACAACACCTTGGTTTTTATTGTTGACCTTCGTGCTGATAAAAAGAAGATTAAAGATGCTGTCAAGAAAATGTATGACATTCAGGCCAAGAAAGTGAATACTTTGATCAGGTAAGAGACATAGCAATATATTAAGTTTTGCTACATTTAAATTTTAATTATTGAATCCAACCTAATGTAGAGCTAAGTTGCTTTGCTTATGAGTTGTGTTGTGCTTAGTGGTCACTATTTATTTGGATCTTTAGAAGTAGATTCACAATAATGATATAGAGATCAATTAATTAAAACTAGGTGAAGAAGTTATGAAGTTATGTTTTATATTAGCTTTTGAATTTTGGAGTTCTTAAGTATATGGTGATTTCATAGAATATAACATCGAGCAGTATTATTATGTTTGATTCTTTTACTAACCAACTTATTTCCTTTTTGGCAGGCCGGATGGAACAAAGAAAGCCTATGTTCGGTTGACTCCAGATTATGATGCCTTGGATGTAGCCAACAAAATTGGTATCATCTAAGTTGTACTGCTTGATTTGAGCAACTAGGATAGTTGTTATACATTACCCTGTAAGGGCTCCTTTGTTATCCTTATGTATTAACTATTGTGCATTTGATTTTTATGAAATTAATTTTATACTAGAAATAATCTGTGACTGATTGCCCATTTGCTTTATTAGTACCTTTTTAGTTTTCAACCTATATATTGCACCAGAAAAACAAAGTTGCACTGAATTGTTCACAGTTCCTTTAAGGTCAAAGTCGGTGGATTTAATAATCTGATAGCTAATGAACTCATTTACTGTGTTGAGTTGTTCACATATTGTAGAATCTGCCTTTGGTGCTCAAACGATATGCATATTTTAGATCTGCTGCCATTAGTTCAAACTCATTTTATTGGATAAATGAATTTAGTTTTTTTGCCTATCAATTCAATTTTACTGTTTCATTGAGTAATGGGGGAATGTGTATGTGCAAGGGGTTTTCATGGGTCTAATGGTCTGGATTGTGTCAGGCTTTGCTGTAACCGAATGAAGCCATGAAATCATTCTGCAAAGTGTTGGCAATTCCCGATTGGGTTATACTAGGTTCATGTATTCCTAGAGCTGTCAATGAGGGCCAAAGCCCATGAGACAGCCCACCCAACCATATATGCTACCCCATCTTTGAACCTTCTGTAATCAATGTTGGGATCTTGTCATGGTGTTGGAGATAGCTTGCTAAATAAGAAAGGAAAACAAGTCACTACTGTTAGTATTATTTAAAAAACAACCAGACATAGTCATGTGTCTACCTGGAATGAAATTTTGGTAGGGACTGTTACATGTCTGGGACATAATACAGAGAGAGTGTGTCTGATGATTATGGGTTTCCCATGTTGTCTGATAACATCTCTTGAAAAGGTGTTCATCGTTGCCCTATAATATCCTTTGTTATTATTTGAGCTACATCTGAATTCCACATCACAATGACTGAATATAAGAGAGACACCTTTCCATATAACAAATCATGACTGAATATCTTTTTTCAGTTTTTCTTATAATTATTTTTTTGAAAAACCAGACATAGTCAGGTCCCTACGTTGTTTGGAATTTTGGTAGGGACTGTTACATGTCTGGAACATAATACTCGAGAGTGAGTCTGATTAATATGGGTTTCCCATTTTGTCTGATAACATCTCTTGAAAAGGTGTCCATCGTTGCCCAATAATATCGTTTGTTATTATTTGAGCTACATCTGGACTCCACATCACAAATAAGAAAGGAAAACAAATAATGACTGAATACCTTTTTTTTGAAAAACCAGACATAGTCAGGTTCTACCTTGTTTGGAATTATGGTAGGGACCGTTACATGTCTGGGACATAATACTCAGAGAGCGAGTCTGATTAAAATGGGTTTCCCATTTTGTCTGATAACATCTCTTGAATAGGTGTCCATCGTTGCCCAATAATATCTTTTGTTATTATTTGAGCTACATCTGGACTCCACATCACAAAATAAATGCCCCTCCCTCAACCTTGTTCTTTTCAACCTTAGAAATTGCGAATGGAGAGGTATATTTTAGTTGTAAGTTGGAAACCATTTTGCACTAAATCTAATCATGCAGTTAGAATTTATCAGTGTATTGATATACGCTAACAATATATTATTTTTGCTGGTTCCTCTAATGGCAGTTGTGTTTGTTGTTCTACTTTTTTTTTTGGTAGTTAAACAATTAAGATTTTTTCTTTCATTTTTCCTGATGTATTCATTGGTGCTATAATTTGTCTGTATAGTTGAACTTGTTCTGATACATCAATGTATATGTTCCTATACTGCTCGACTATGTAAATCCAAATTCTGAGGACTCTTGTTTCTTTAAAAAATATTGTTTGTCATGCAACATAGGATATTTTTATAATATGTTGAATTGCCATGATATAGCAGCTACAGAGCCCTTATAATTTTAAGCCTATCTAGTAAAAATTTACTTTTAACAGAACACTGGCCTGTTCCAGATAATTTTGATTTTTATCTTCAGGTGATGGCGGGATGCCATGTAACATTCACCAAACCAAGTTTGTTGTTTTGGTGCTATTTAGAGGTTTGCAGGGGACCACCAGCATTTGGTGGTCAATTAATGAGTTTACAACAACCCATAATTAGTTGGAGAATCATTTTTCTTAATGTCTTACTCAGGCATAGTCAGATATCTAATGTGATTGTTATGGCAGACTTAGTGCAAGACTGTGATGGAACATTAGGTTGGCTTTTCAGCTCATCATGGTCCATTATACACAGCATGAGATTGTTTCTGGTTGAGTAGAAGATGTTATTAAGTTTTCAACCTGTGATGCATGGAAATAGTATATCATTATTTCATGGTATTTTCTCTTCTTAGTGGTGCTTTGAACTCTTTCTGTAACGAGCTTCACAAAAAAGGACCAAATGGTTCACTTGAATTTTATAAAGAGAACATGAAAAATATTATTCCTCTAATACTTGAATATGTACTTTGCTGTCTATTGCTGCGTTTCAGTATGATTACATCATAATCATGTTGAATTGGAGACTCCGTGATTTCAGAGCTTATAGTGTGTAAAGAGAAATATTAGTAATTGAACTAAGGGAAAAAAATGTTTGTCAGATATAATTGTCTTTTTAAATGAAATAACGTCGTTTTAATATATAATTGGTAATTTTTTACGTTCTTTCCTCTATTATCTTATGTTTTATTTAAAATTATATCCTTTAGAAAGAAAAATATTTTTTCCTTAACCAAATATATACAACATGAAGCAGATATTGACGAGAAAAACACTTCATGTACTTTACTATCGAAAGCATCCTCAGCTTTGCAGAAGTTAATGTTTTAAAACGTTTTCTTGATTTTTCTTATTTATATATTATAAGAAATTAAAACTTATAGAATTGTCATTATCTTATTTAAATTAAACGAATTAAAAATATTATAAAATAATATTTGAAAAGTTGATATCAGGTTCGAATATCTAATTATGTTTGAAGAAAGATAAAAAAAATTAATTTAAATTTTTTTCCTTTATTGATAGTTTTAAAGATACAATTGAATTGATAAAAATTTAATGTTAGCTTATGAGAACCAATGTTTTTAGTTTTTACGTATTTCTTAATACAATAAAATTTTTAAAGTCATAATACTTAATGGAGATTAATTTTCATTTAAAAACATTTATTTTGGGTTTCATTTGAATTATTTTGAAAAAAAAATCTTGGATCATTAAGATGTTGCACAAATCAAAGAACTAGACAATAGATGTACCAAAACAAAATGAACTAGACAATAAATTAAATTATCAACGATAGAAACTTTTTTTTTATATATATATTTTTGTTATTTATTCATTTATTTATTATTATAATTATTTTTTATTTTTGTTTACTTGCTATACCTAATCTATTTGTAATATTTTTAGTTTTTATCATTTTAAAGAGGAAAGAAATCTTTACCACAAAAAAGAGAGGAAATAAATCACAGTATTTTTATTTGGAAGAAGAAGCATTGCCAACTTAAATCCAAAAAAGACTTGGCAGCCCAAACCCACAAGACATATTTAACTTTAAAAATGAAAGAAACAGCTTGCCTGAGGAATGAGGATAAACAATTGGGGGGAACGAAAGTTATAATGAAACAAGAGACTAATTAATTAAACTTTGGACCTTAAGGCTCAAAAAATGAACATTCTCTCTTACGATGAGTTTATTTTCTCTACTAATGAAAATAATAATAATAATAATAATAATAATGAATGATGTTATCATCAAACATTGAAAATCTTGAAGGATTCTATCACTGTCTGCAGTCTGTCTTTCATCTTCCCCCACCTTCTCTCATTTGCTCCTGTCGTTAACGTGTAAAATCTTCCTGCAATTCCCACAGAATATTTTTATTTTATTTTTATTTTTTAAGAATCTCATTTGTTGTATATTTATACTTCTAAAAAATCAAAATGTTTTGCTTTTCTATAACTGAGAAATAAAACAAAAATTCATTTTTTTTTCCGGTACAACAACAAAAAATCATTTTAAATTGGATACAATGTTACACACATTTTACTTTTAAAGATTTCTTCAAAAACACGTTACTATCTTTATTTAAGTTTTAATTCAGTTTTTAAATTATAAAAAACATTCAAAAGGAAGGATCGAACTATACCATTGCCAATGGAGACTGTGGTGAGAGCATGACGAGTATAGTTTGGAGCCTTAGCAATGAACTCAAATCGATAATATGCTTTTCCATCAATATCTTCCTGAGCAATTACACACACACAGCAAGCTATGGTCAGTGTTTTTGCAGTTATAATGTTATATTATATACGTGATAAGATATTCTACCTATCTTTATTTTTTTATGCCTGTCTTACCTAGATCAGAATCTAATTAACTTTTATTATTTCTTTCTCATACTGAGATTCTGTTCCAATGAAATTGGAAATGAATAGGTAAAGTAGGAATAAATCTTTGGTACTACTGCTGTACCTAGATTCAGTTCATCTCATCAATGAGAACATTACACATCAGAGGAGAGAAAAAAAAATTGACAGAAAAAAAAAAGAATTTTAACTGATATGTAATATTTTCATTGGTGGGATGCACTGAATCTTTGGTACAGCAATAGTACCAAAGATTTATTCATAAAGTAGACATAAAAAAAGTAAGCATGATATTCTATCCCATTATATACATATATATACTCATTTATAAGAACCAGTGATCACAAACATTGGATATGGAGGTACTTGATACAAGTGGCACACCACACTATGTGATACAAAATGTCATTCTATATTTGCATACAAGAAACGTTAATAATCACAATGCATACATTCATCAACATCATTAGGTACCCTAACCTTCAGAAAATGAAACAGCGAAACTAAATTCAAGAGAATTTCAATATTTCCTATTCGACAACAGTAACTAAATGAACAATTAACAAAATTCAAATAGTTGTTAATGATATGTTAACCAGATATTGACTTACTACTCTTTTTGGTTAAATATCTTCACCTGAAATTCCTAATTCGTAATTCTCCCTCTGGAGTCTGGAAGATCAAATGACAAAGAATATGATGACAACTAAACTTTGCTCTTGCCAAAACACCCTCAAGGAAGTTAAAAAGAATTCTGTGTTCTTTTATCCTAAAGAGAAAAAAATAAATATCCTTCTTTGTAACCATATTTCCTACTATTATTTAATCTTCTTTTTTCACTTTATTTGTTGGCAATAAATTCTGTATGAATTTGACAAACCATTAAAACTGGTATTCATCTAAATTGCTGATGTTTTGTGAGGGAAGTTGCCAGCAATCCCAGTAACATGGGTTTTTAAGCTATAATAGTTGTTTGAATACATGAAAGATTCCTTTTTCTCTGAGTGCATTGTAAGATTGCACAGTGGTCTAGCATTAGTATGATTCCCAATTCAAAACTACATTTACTATGAGAAGGCAAATTCCCTTTAGCAAAGTCGTGCAAATTGAACACTAACATGATAACATTGAGATTGTTTAAATATTAACATTATCATAATGTCTCATCTTTCTAGGACATAGCTATCAGTGAATTTGAGTAACCGTGGAAGTCATCTTACACAGACTGTTCTGTTTCCACAAGAAAGAGAAAGCAGTATAGAGGGAAGAATAAACGACATCATAACTTTCAACTGTGGTAAAGGAACAATAATATTTAATCCTTCAAGTAACTATATCTTGAGAAAAGCTTGAAGTTCAAAATGAGATGAGACTAGTAGAATAGAATTGTACAGGTATTAAATACATAATATATGGTTGCTGAACAAATATCGAAATATTAAATGTGCATATAATCTAATTAACAAAAACAATAATGAATACAACTAGGAGAAGAGATGTAGGATATCAAACCTCTTTTGCCTCAATTATCTTTGTTTTCTGGGTTGGAGAGGCCAAAACCTTTTCTATTAGAGTTTCCCCAACCTGCAAGCAAATTAAGATGAAAAATAACAACTCTTATCTTCCTTAAAAACAATGCAATCAAATTGATATAAACCAACCTGTTCAGCGGACCCAAATTCTCTAATATCCTGTTTACTAGTTGGGATCAGATTTACGCTGACACTTTCCAGTGGTTCAATGACATCCTTGAACACCTTATCTTGACCTTCAATCACTACTTCCTGTCAACTCCATAGAAGAAGACAAAGAAACTAACCTTAACTTCCATTTTAGATATAAAAGGTCATACTGGAGCAGACGGTATATAACAATGCTTACCTGCCACCCGAAAGGGTAGAGAAATGAATACCCATCTTTCTTGTCCAAAACTGACAAAAATCCTTTCTTATTTTCTGCAGCAACTGAGCCATATCAAGGGTATATCCTCAGGATGTCAGGCATCATTATTTAGGAAAGTCAACATGTCCGAAAAAACAGCATTTGTTCCTTCCTGATCACGCGCACAATTAAGTAATACATGGAAAACTTAACTGCTTAAAATGCAATCTTACAAGAGTAGGAGTGTTGGTTGATCAGAAAAACTAATGGGGCAGTAGCTCCGATCGCAATCAATTGGCGCCTTCCTGGTCTATCTGCCAAAGTATTACAAAGGATTAAAAACAAAAATGGATATAGCCCCAGTTAATGATAGCAACTCAATGTCAGACAATTCTATAATGAAGTTGTTTACAACAGGTATAGGGATTGATACTCAAAACTGTTCAGATTTCACCATGAATATCACGTAATTCATAGTATTTGTGCTACACATGATGCCCTAACCAAATTGTTGCTCAGCATTCTCGTTCCTAAACATTCTTTGCTAATATTGTTTCTTCTAAAATACAAACAAGGTTAATAGCCTAAAAGATTCACATGAGGTCTGCATGACAATTTGTGAGGGTGAATGTTTGATTTAGACAACAAGATGTACATTGCACAATGCATCTTCATCAGAAGCTAAATTCTCCTACATTGATGACCATAGATACAGGCAAGTTCAATGAGCTCTTGGCAGAAACTTATCTTTTGGAAACTGAAGAATCAAAGAGCAGCAAGGTAGTGCCAAAAGCACCAAATAAATAAATTACTTGTACAGTTCTACCCACAACACATGCAAAGTTATACATATAACTTCTTATAAGATAATGATAGCTGTGAATTCAAGCACAAGAGACCAAAAAATAAAATAAAATAAAAATCACAAACCTTGAGAAAGCAACCCAGTTGAAGAAGCTGAAGGTTCTTGGGCAGCTTTGATAATGAACGAAAAGCCTTCTTTTCTAGATGAACGAAAAGTACCATGCTTCTGTAACAATGACACGTATTTCAGAAACAGAGAAAAATGAATCAAATTACCAAATTAAAGCATAAGAGAGTACCTGGGGAAAAGAGTTGTGAAAGAGGGTTTGGTGGAGTGTAGGAGCATTCTGCAGGGACGCCATTGTTGCAAGGAAAATGAAACAAGTTTCTGAGTCAGTTGTTGTCTATGTCTTCTTTCTTCTATTCCTTTCTATGTGGTGGAGGACACTCTCTTATGACTTGGACTTATCCTTTATGCTTAATAATACTATGTAACATTTTGTTATCTAAAAAAAAATAGTATAGGGATATATTTTTCTTATGTTGTAGGAAAAGAATTACCTCATGTTGTAGAAATAAAAGTATAAGTGGGACTCACATGTAAGAGGAGAGAGAAAAAAAAAGTGGTGGGACCCAAACCCTTTTTGTGTGTGTAGGAGAGATGTTTATCTCATGTAAAAATGAGATAAACATAACTCATAAGAATTTGGCCTTTACTTACCATTTTTCTTTGTGATATATTGTTTTGCTTCCCCTAGTTGATCTCTTTTCTTTTCTTGTTGACATCAAAAAAGAAGATGACGAAGAAGAAAATATTCATGTTAAAAAACAAATTAACATACTCAAATCATCAAATTTATTTTACTTCTCATTTAATGATATTAACTATCATGTGTACACAACAAAGATGAACAACTATGATATTATAAATTAAGTGTATCTAGGGTCCGTTTAGATGGACTTTTTTTTCTCCAGAAGTTGCTTTTTTTGTTGAAAAAAAGCACTTTTCATTTTTAGTTTGTTTGGATGTCTGCTTTTAAAAAAAGTAGAAGTCACAAAAAGGTCAAAAACCTACTTTTTTTTCTGAAGCTAAAAATTTTAACTTCTAAAAAAAGCAGAAGTCAAAAGTCAAATATTTTTTTCAAAATCTAAATATTTTTATAAAAATATAAATAGCTTTAACTTTTGTAAAAAAGACTTCTAAAATAAGGAAGAGATAAAAGTTACTTTTTTCAAAAGTGCAAACAAACGGGCTCGTAATCCTAATAGGGAAATGTTATATTTATTATATTTTTTTTCTTATGATCTCTTACTATTAAATTGTAATTGTTAATTTTTGTCAATCTAATGCTTATAATTTATTGAAAATTAATAATTAATTAATAAGTATGACATAATAAGTTATAACTGTTAGATTGATGAAAATCAATGATTAAAATTTGATAATAAAATGTAATAAAAAAAGATAATAAGCATAACCTCCTTTATACTAATAATTCATAAACTACTAATAAGTTGTAGCCTGATGATTGATGCACACCTCTAATGCGAAGTCTCTTTATTTTCTTTGTTAGTTAAGTTACAATGCTATCTTTTTTTGATCAATTTATTTCATGTTGCATGAAATAATAATAAGGATCCCATTACTTTGTTCATGCAACATGAGATAATTATTTATCATTCTTTTATAGTAAAATGATGTGGACTTTTCTCATGGCTTTATTTATGAATATAACAACGGAAAAATATGTATCATTTTAAAGATGTAAAATTATATTATTTTTAAATAAGAGAAAGAGATAAATCATAAAAAAAGTGGACAGAAATAAATAAATATGTGTGTCTCACTTCTTTATGACAGTAAAATAACACACATTATGACATTTAAAAAGATAAACACTTCTTGACAATTGTCAACTGACCCGGTTTATGTTTTTTTTTTTTAATGTCCTTTGTAGTTTAAATATAACTACACCAGCAGTCGCATTCAGTACTGGGAAGAAAATAAAAATACCTGTTCAATTCAAATGTTCGTCGTTTGTAAGAAAATTATAAAAAAAGAAGAAGTAATTGGACGAGAAAAAACGTTAGAACAAATTGACCCTTGACCCTTGACTGTTAATTGCAATGATTAGTTAAATTTTAAATGTAAATTAATTGCAATGATTTTATTTTGTTCACACCGTAAGTTGGATCCCCTATTTTTCAATTTTATTTTACCTAAATTCTAATAAGGGTAGCTACCTTACTAAAAAAATATTACGAAAAGGGGAATGAGGTGGTAAAAATAAGTGATAGAAATAGGAAAAAATTAATATTATTTTAAAAGATATAAAATTATGTTATTTTAAATGAAAAAAAAAGGGACAAAAAAAGAATAAAAATATGACTCTCGTCTCTTTGTAAGAGTGAAATGACATAAATTATATCATTTTAAAAGATAAATATTTTTCTCGAAATAATATGAATAACCATAGAAGTTTTGGTCTGTTGAAACTTTAAATAGGCTATCCCCCGGCTTTTTTACCCTTATAACCCTTTATTATTAATTAATTACCGATTTGACCTTGATTATAAACTATTTCAAAAATTTAACCCCCTCAAAAAACATAACACCAATCTGCCCCTGTTTGACCGTTGACCACCAAGCCTACCCGGGTACACCCCTCTGTACCCGGGTATTTTTTGAAAATTTTTGTCTACCCGGGTAGGGAGGCGTGTACCCGGGTATTGTTCTTCGCACCTGAGAAATTGCTTGAATTATTTACCCGGGTAGAGAGGGGTGTACCCGGGTAAATCTTCAACCACTCGGTATGATTACTCTTTGGATCTCCCATGCACTCTTCTTCTCCAAGCTTTGAATATGGAGGCACCGACTATCACGTGCTCTGCCTCTGCAACTTTTTTGGGTCTGTAAAGCACACAAATATTTTTCAATGATTATTTCAGAAAGAGAATTCTCAGTTAACAGTATAAATCCACAACCACAAACCTTGTCCCATGCATGTCTTCCCTGAACGTGATAATTCGTCATTTACCAGTAAAATGAAAAGCTGCATGCTCACACTAAATTTTTGTACCATGAACCCTGTCTTTATTTTCTTTCCGTCTCACTCTCCCCAATAGACCCGGTACCACATTTATATATAGGAGCGCGATTTTGACGTACATAAAAGTAGACCCCATCATAATCGATACGAACAGGGACCGCTTTGATGAGCAGTAAAGTGTTGATGTATGGAAATTCCAAATCCATTCTCAAAGTTAAAAGCTCTTCAAATTGGTTAGGCATGCTTAACTTGATAATACTGATCTATCTCATTAGCTGTAAAAAAGAGAGAAAAAATACCAAATGGGTGGTCGAAGATTTACCCGGGTACACCCCTCTCTACCCGGGTAAATAATTCAAGCAATTTTTCAGGTACGAAGAACAATACCCGGGTACACGCCTCCCTACCCGGGTAGACAAAAATTTTCAAAAAATACCCGGGTACAGAGGGGTGTACCCGGGTAGGCTTGGTGGTCAACGGTCAAACAGGGGCAGATTGGTGTTATGTTTTTTGAGGGAGTTAAATTTTTGAAATAATTTATAATCAAGGTCAAGTCGGTAATTAATTAATAATAAAGGGTTATAAGGGTCAAAAAGCCGCTATCCCCCACTTAAAGATAGCGCCTTTACCTTATTAGTGGTACTCTTGATTGGTCTAACTCCCCCCCTTTTTTTTTATATATTTTGTTTTGGGTACAAGTCTAACCCTATCTTTCACTTGGTCAAGTTTGGTTGACAGGGCCCAATACACTTCCATAAAAGCAAATGATAAAGAGGGTTGATATATTCTAGCTTTTGGCAATTAAGAAATGTAACTTGAAACCACAAAAAGTAGAGTAAAAAGATTGAGTGACGGGGGAGGTATCAATAACTTAATTTAATTGCACTGAATATTCAATGTATGTGCTATTCAATACGTGGATAAAAAAAATATAATATTATTTGGTCAGTTATTATTTAATTTTTTTAGATAATATGATATTTTTTGTCCGAATAGCAGATGCACCGAATTTTCAGTATATGAAAATTTATTCCCATATAAATTAGCCTCCCATTTTCTAAAAAATTATGAGATGAAAATGTAATGGCCTTTGAGAGTGCTTGATCTATAAATAAGCCTAGTAATAAAAAAAAGGAAAGAGGGCCTTTGAGCACCATCAAGCACAAACCAGAGACACAATTGAGCACTCTAGCACTTAGGCCATTTGCACAAGTTATCTATGTTTATTCTCCTCCTCCTTGTTTTTAGCCCAAGTAGTTTATTCATAGTAGTCCTTTCTTAATTCTCAAATTGTAATCCATCATTGTAATTCACCTCACTAGAAAAACCAAGAACTTTCACCCACAAATAAATTAATAATATCAACATTAACAATACATTTAACCTAAATCAATTAGAATCGTAATTGTTAAACCCAAATAAATAATAATACAAATAAAAAATAAGATAAAATAAAATAAACGAAAAATAAAAGAGATTTGTTAATCAATAATTTTTTTGGCCGTTCAATAATTTTTTACATTAATCAAATTTCTTAATTTTTTTCAATAGAAATAATCAAGTCCTTTCTCCGTTTTGTTACCCAATCACTAATAAAAATTAATAAAATGATTAATGATTTACATATGTGACATAAAATATATTGAATAAAAATATCTTGATGAACGTTAATCAATCAAATATTATATTTAAATACTTCATTTTATATTTGATCTATTTATATTGAGAGATTTAGATTGTGTTGATTAAGATGACCAACTTGCTTTAAATAAAGGGAATTACTTATCTCACGTAGCATGAGAGAAATTCTCTCATGTCAAGAGACAAATAAAACGAGTCGCACCAATTTAAAAAAAATAAAAAATAGAAACACATCTTTTAGAGTGAAAATAACGTAAGAGATCAATCTCATGCAACATAAAAATATAATTTTCCTTAAATAAAAGGTCAATCGTAACAGAAGAATTAAAAGTACAATTAAGTCTTCTTTAATGAGTCAAAATAACATTCATTAATTTATCTAATGAATTATTCAAACTTTTAAGTATTTAGGAAGTTCATTTATTACAAAAATAAAATCTGAGAAAAAAAAATCATTTTCCTTATAACAAAGCGTTGAAACTCGAAACTAGTTTTGGCAATAACAGCGCACACTCACTGTAATCCCTGTTCTTTAAAAAGCATAAAGCCAAAAACAACTTAATTAATTTAATTACTAAATAATATTATATTAAATATTAATAAAATAAAAAACACCATACAGCGTATCAACGCCGGCGTTTGACCGTTAAACCTAACCACAAAAAACCCAAACAAGAGAGAGAGAGAGAGAAAGAGAGAGAGAGAGAGGGTTCAAAAATTTCGCGTGCTGCTACGGGTGACAAT